CATATAATAGATGGTGAGAAGTGCTTCAGAAAAAAAGAAAACATATGGCAGAGTAAAGGGAATTGGGAAGAAGCAGGCAGGGTGCAGTTTTAAACTGAATGCTCAGGCTGGGTGCAGTGGCTCATGCCTGTAATCCCAGACTTTGGGAGGCCAAGGCGGGTGGATTACTTGAGGTCAGGAGTTTCAGACCAGCCTGGCCAACATGGTGAAACTCCATCTCTACTAAAATATAAAAATTAGCCAGGTGTGCTGGCATCTACAGGGGTTCACCATATGCCTCTCTGTATATACTCCTAGAAGGTAACATTAAAATTAAGTTTTCTGACTCAGAAACAACCCACAGAAGCTTGCACCAAGACAGAGATTCCATCATGATGAGCAGCCCAGGATTCAACCTCACTGAACATAGTAGCATGTACAGGAAACAGACTTTCCATTGTGTTAAAGCTGAGTGTTATCTCAGTTGCTCAGGAGGATGAGGCAGGAGAACTGCTTGAACCCAGGAGATGGAGGTTGCAGTGAGCTGGGATAGCACTACTATGCTCCAGCCTGGGCGACAGAGTAAGACTTCGTCTCAAAAAATAAATTAATTAAATAAATAAATAAATAAATAAATAAATAAATAAATAAATAAAAACTGAATGCTCAGGGTAAGCCTCATTGAAAAGATGGAGGTACATAACATAAGATGTGCCTTCGCTCCTCCTTCTCCTTCCACCATGATTGTGAGGCCTCCCCAGCCATGTGGAACTGTGAGTCCACTAAATCTCTTTTTCTTTATAAATTACCCAGTCTCAGGTATGTCTTTATTAGCAGCATGAGAACGGCCTAATACAGTAAATTGGTACCAGGTAGTGGGGTGTTGCTAGATACCTGAAAATGTGAAATCAACTATGGAACTGGGTAACAGGCAGAGGTTGGAACAGTTGGAGAGCTCAGAAGAAGACAGGAAAATGTGGGAAAGTTTGGAACTTCCTAGAGACTTGTTGAATGGCTTTGACTAAAATGCTGATAGTGATATGGACAACAAAGTCCAGGCTGAGGTGGTCTCAGATGGAGATGAGGAACTTGTTGGAAACTGGAGTAAAAGTCAACCTTGCTATGCAAAGAGACTGGCAGCATTTTGCCCCTGCCCTAGAGATCTGTGGAACTTTGAACTTGAGAGATGATTTACGGTACCTGGCAGAATAAATTTCTAAGGAGCAAACTGTTCAAGAGGTGACAGAGCATAAAAGTTGGGAAAATGTATAGCCTCACAATGTAGTAAAAAAGAAAAACCCGTTTGCTGAAAAGAAATTCAAGCAGGCTGCAGAAATTTGCATAAGTAACAAGGAGCCAAATGTTAATCACCAAGACAATGGGGAAAATGTCTCCGCATCATGTCAGAAACATTCGCAGCAGCCACTACCATCACAGACCCAAAGGCCTATGAGTGAAAAATGATTTCCTGAGCCAGGTCAAGGGCCCCAGTGCTGTGTGCAGCCTAGGGACTTGGTGCCCTGCATCCCAGCTGCTCCAGCCATAGCTAAAAGGGGTGAAGGTACAGCTCAGGCCATGGTTTCAGAAGGTGCAAGCCCCAAGCTTTGGAAGTTTCCACATGGTGTTGAGTCTTCAGGTGCACAGAAGTCAAGAACTGAGATTTGGGACCTCCACCTAGATTTCAGAGGATATATGGAAACAGCTGAATGTCCAGGCAGAAGTTTGCAGCAGGGGTGGGGCCCTCATGGAGAAACTCTGTCAGGGCAGTCAGAAGGGAAATGTGGGGTTGGAGCCCCCACACAGAGTCTCCACTGGGGCACTGCCTGGTGGAGCTATGAGAAGAGGGCCACCATCCTCCAGACCTCAAAATGATAGATCCAGTGACAGTTTGCACTGTGCACCCAGAAAAGGCACAGACACTCAATGCCAGCCTGTGAAAGCAACTGGGAGGGGGGCCATACTCTGCAAACCCACAAGGTTGTAGGAGCCCACCTCTTGTATCAGCATGACCTGGATGTAAGACATGGAGTTAAGGGTAATCATTTTGGAACTTTAAGGTTTAATGACTGCCTTATTGGATTTTGGATTTACTTGTTTTGGCCAATTTCTCCCATTTGGAATGGGTGTATTTATCCAATGCCTGTACCCCACTGTATCTAGGAAGTAACTAACTTGCTTTTGATTTTACAGGCTCAAAGGCTGAAGGGACTTGTCTTGTCTCAGATGAGGCTTTGGGCTGTGGACTTTTGAGTTAATGCCGAAATGAGTTAAGACTTTGGGGGACTGTCGGGAAGGCATGATTGGTTTTGAAATGTGAGGATATGAGATTTGGGAGGGGTCGGGGCAGAATGATATGGTTTGGCTGTGTCCCCACCCAAATCTCATCTTGAATTGTAGCTTCCATAATCCCCACATGTCGTGGGAGGGACCCAGTGGGAGGTAATTGAATCATGGGGGTGGGTTTTCCCATGCTATTCTAATGATAGTGAATAAGTATCACAAGATCTGATGCGTTTATAAAAGGCAGTTCCCCTGAACATGCTCTCCAGCTTGCCACCATGTAAGATGTGCTTTTGTTCCTCCTTTGCCTTCTCCTGTGATTGTGTGGCCTTCCCAGTCATCTGGAACTGTGAGTTCATTAAACTTCTTTTTGTTTATAAATTATCCAGTCTCAGGTATGTCTTCATTAGCTGCATGAGAACTGACTAATCCAGGACTTATCAGTTAAATGCAAAGAAGTCATGACATTCCCAAATCTTCTCCTGCGCTCTAGTTAAAAGATCTACAACTTAACCATAGTTAAACCAATAGAATAATCTATATTGATTATGGAAATGGAAGTTATGGGAGTCAAAACAGAATAAAGAAAATAGCAAAAGGCCAAATAGCAAAAGCATTCATAAGTAAGATAAAAAGGAGAAAAAAAATGTGTAAAACAACCTTTTTCCATCTTTCTTTTTTCCCATCAATTTCCCTTTTCATTTTATTTGTCTTATCTAACATACAGATTGAACGTTTTAAAAATGCATTTTACAAAAGGAATAAAATGTTTAGGAATACAGCTAACTATGGAAGTGAAAGATCTCTATAAGAACTACAAACCACTGCTCAAAGAAATCAGAGACGACACAAACAAATGGGAAAACATTCCATGCTCATGGATAGGAAGAATCAATATCATTAAAACAGTCATATTGCCCAAAGTGATTTATAGATTCACTGCTATTCCCATTAAACTACCATTGAGATTCTTCACAGAACAAGAAAAACCTACTTTAGAATTCATATGGAACCAAAAAAGAGCCCGAATAGCCAAGACAATCCTAAGCAAAAAGAACAAAGCTGGAGGCAACACACTACGCAACTTCAAACTATGCTACAGGGCTACAGTAACCAAAACAGCATGGTGCTGGTACAAAAACAGACATGTAGACCAGTGGAACAGAATAGAGAGCTGATAAATAAGACTGCACATCTACAACTATGTAATCTTCAACAAACTTGACAAAACAAGCAATAGGGAAAAATTCCCTATTCAATAAATGGTGCTGGGATAACTGGCTAGCCATACATAGAAGATTGAAACTAAACCCCTTCCTTACACTATATACATAAACTAACTCAAGATGGATTAAAGACTTAATTGCAAAATCCAAAACTATAGAAACCCTGGAAGACAACCTAGGCAATACCATTCAGGACATAGGCACAGGCAAAAATTTCGCAACGAAGATGTCAAAAGCAATTGCAACAAAAGCAAAAATTGACAAATGGGATCTAATTAAACTAAACAGCTTTTGCACAGCAAAAGAAACTACCAACATTGTAACCAGACATATCTCCCTATGATGGGAGACAATTTTTTCAAACTATGCATCCAACAAAGGTCTGATATCCAGAATCTATAAGGAACTTAAGCAAATTTACAAGAAAAAAACAACCCCATTAAAAAGTGGGCAAAAGACATGAACAGACACTTCTCAAAAAAGAACATACATGTGGCCAACAATCATATGAAAAAAAGCTCAGTATCACTGATCATTGGAGAAATGCAAATCAAAACAATAATGAGATACCATCTCACATCAGTCAAAATGTTTGCTAGTAAAAAGTAAAAAAAAAAAAAAAAAAAAAAAAGATGCTGGCAAGGTTGTGGAGAAAAAGGAACACTTACACACTATTAGTGGGAGTGTAAATTAGTTCAACCATTGTGGAAAATAGTGATGCAACTCCTCAAAGACCTAAAGACAGAAATACCATTAGACCTAGCAATCCCATTACGGGATATATATATACACATATCTCCAAAGGAATATAAATTGTTCTATTATAAAGACACATGCACACATATGTTCTTTGTAGAGCACAGCTGGAAGAACATTAGACGAGTTATGTAGAGCAATTAGCAAAGAAGTGGAATGAACCTAAATGCCCATCAATGATAGACTGGATAAAGAAAATGTGGGACATATACACCATGGACTACTATGCAGCCATAAAAAAGAATGAGATAATGTCCTTTGCAGGAACATGGATGGAGCTGGAGGCCATTATCCTTAGGAAATGAATGCAGGAACAGAAAACCAAATACCACATGTCCTCACTTATAAGTAGGAGCTAAATAATAAGAATACATGGACACATAGAGGGCCTATCAGAGGGTGAAGAAGATGGAGAAGATCAGGAAAAATCACTAATGGGTCCTAGGCTTAACAGCTAGGTGATGAAATAATCTGTACAAAAAGCCCCCATGACACAAGTTTACCTATGTAAACTTTCACCTGCACATGGACCCTTGAACTCAAAAGTTTAAAATAAAAATAAACAAAATGTTTTAATCCCCCTTAAGTAACACTTATAGCAACATAAGATGGCAAAAATCAAATGCATTATTTTCAGTCAACCAAACCTGCAAAAGAAATTTTTACAAACATACTAATTATGGAAGGTTTGACATGTAGAACACAATGGCAAACCTTGATTTAGAGAAAATAAACCTTCAAGCTAAGATTGGTTCTGACCTGAAGAGATAAGCATTTTTAGTAAATCTGTGCAGTTGCCTGTTTCTTCAATGGTTGAAGAATTTATCTTAAGCTGCTTCCCAATGAAATTTCGGCAGGTTATCTTTAAAAAGAAAGATGAAAACAAATATTAGTCAGGTATTTATAGTTAAAAATTTTGCTTACTTGAAATGTTTCTCTCATTTTTTATTTATCAGGATAAAGAGATATATAACAATGCTACAAGTAAAAGCTGGCAGAATAGCATCTAATCATGAGAACTTTCATGAAAAAAAGCAGCTCCATAATTTTTCATATTTCTTTTGTACAGCACAGCTGGAAGAACGTTAGGCAAATTATGTAGAGCAATTAGAATATGATTTTCTAATATACTATAAATTCGCTGGTCTAAATATATCTTCCATTATATAAGTTAAAATATAATCTGCTTTCCAAATGGCAGATTTTTCCACCCTACTTATAATTAATGCAATTTTAATTTCCCTGGTGAAGTTTTTCAGAACTAACTTCCTTTGTAGTATTTTGATAATTTATTTTCTAACAGATATATGAGTCCTAAGATAATAAAATATCAGAAAACAGAAAAGTTTTAAAGAGAAAAAAAATATTTTAAAGGGCCCAAGACCCTCTTCTCGCCATTTCTTCACTCCCATCCCTTGAACTAACCTATCGCTCAAAATACAGCCCTCCTGGAACCCCAGGCTGATATAGATGCTTCTTCTTTATTGTCCTTTGTGGGTAGTACTTTTATAATGAGACATAAATGCAGCCTAATAAAATACAAATTCCTTCCCACAACCTCATAAGGCCCTACTTGATCTAATCTTTTCTATTTCTCCAGCTTCATTAAACGGATCTTTACTGAACACCTATTATGTGCCAAACACTGGGACAAGAAGAAGGGATGATGTAGCAGAGAACAAAATAAACAAAAACTCTTACTCTTGTGAAACATCTTAGTGGGAGAAGAGAGATAATAAACAAACAGTGTGGTACATTATATAGTATATTAAAGAATTACAAATGATCTAGAGAGACATAGAGCAAAAAGGTACATAGTTGTAAATAGAGTAGTGCGGAAAGGCCTCACAGAGAATGTAAAATTTAGCAAAGATTGGGAAAAGGTGAGGGATTCAATGTGGATGTTTGGGGAGCAGCACTCCAAGCAGGGGCAACAGCAAATGCAAAGACCCTGAGGCAAGAACACCTTATGCAACAGTGTGGTAAAAAACCTGCTGGGGAGTAATAGGAGTTACTGAAGAGATCAGGGGGATATGTTATATAGGATACACTATATTAAGGTCATGAAAAAGATGTTCACTTTACTCTAAATAGGGTGGGAAGCCACCACAGGGTTTTAAATAGAGGTGTGACAGGACCTGACTTGGGGTTTAAAAGGTCATTGTATCTGCTGCATTAAGAATAGATTATAGGCTGGGTGTGGTGGTTCACACCTGTAATCCCAGCACTCTGGGAGGCCAAGGCAGGTGGATCACCTGAGGTCAGGAGTTCAAGACCAACCTGGTCAACATGGTGAAACCCCATCTCTACTAAAAACACAAAAATCAGTCAGGTGTGGTGGCTCCCACCTGCAATCCCAGGTACTCAGGAAGCAGAGGCATGAAAATCACTTCAACCTGGGAGGCAGAGGTTGCAGCAAGGCAAGATCGCTCTACTACACTCCAGCCTGGGGACAGACTGAGACTCCATCTCAAAATGACAACAACAAAAAGAATATATTCTAGACTGAAAGTGGGGTGCAGAGTGATTAGGAAGTCACTGCATTAACCCAAGCAAATACAACAAGGGCTTGGATAATAAACAAATAGTGAGGTACATTCTATAGTATATTAAAGAGTCAGTGTTGGAGGTAGTGAGCAGTTCTCCAATTTGGATTGCATTTTGAGGGTAGAGCTCTTGGTTACCAGTTGGAAGGTGGTGTGAGTGCAAGAGAGGAGGCAGGTATGTCTCCAAGGTGGCTGGCAGTCAGGACAGGAGGCTTGTCCTTGAAGAAGACTTAGCAGAACAGGCTTGTTTGAGATGTGCTAAATTTAAGAAGTGTATTTCTCATCTAAGAAATGATGTTGATTGGCCAAGTTTCATGGATCAACTTGGTTTCAGATAAACTATGAGGAGGAAAGAGAGGGAAGCATCCACTTTCTGGCATACACACACTTCACCCCAGTTATTCAATCAAACTAGATGCTACTGTGAAGGGATTTTGCAGATACTAATTAAATTGACTTTAAACAAGAGAGATTACTCTCAGTGGACCTGACCTAAGCAGATGAGTCTGACATGCCCACAGTCTCCAGGACTTCAAACACCAGCAGCAGCTGCTTCTACAACTGTCCTCTCCTGGCTGGATCTTCCCTCACTGACTGCCTATAAGTAACAGCCTCTGTCCATCTGGGTTTCCTCCCTGCTCATGATCCTGATTGCCTGCCCAATGGATTTGAAGCTTGCTTAGCTGGCCTCCACAATCATATGAGCCAAATTCTTGTAGTAAATCCTTTGATGGATAGCCAGCTAGCTAGCTAGACAGATGTGATACTGTAAAGTATATATTTGGTCTTGTCCCTGTTTCTTAACATACAACTCCTAAAATCCTTGGAATCTCCAAAGTGTTATCTTTTTGTATGCTAATAAGTTGATTGATGGTTGGCAGCCCCTAGGTAGCTTCAGGATAGGGGCTGCTCACCAGAAAGACCACGGCAGGATAAGAACTTTCAGCCCTATTTCCCAACCTCTGCAAAGAAGAGAAGGGTGGAAGGTTAAGTTGATCGTCAATGGCCAATGATTTAATCAACGCTTTCATAATGAAACTCCATTAAAAAGAAACGAAAGGACTGGGTTTAGGGAGCTTCTGGATAGTTGAACACGTGGAGGTTCCTGGAAGGTGGTGGATCCGTGAAAGGTCTGTGCCCCTTCCCCTCTGCCTCACCCTATGCATCTCTCCATCTGTATCTTTTGTAATTTTCTTTACAATAAACTGGTGAATGTAAGCAAGTGTTTCTCTGAGTTCTGTGAGTCACTCTAGCAAATTAATCGAACCCAAGGAGTGGGTCATAGGAACCCTAATTTGTCGCCTGTCAGTCAGAAGCACAGGTCACAACCTGGGGCTTGAGATCAACATTGGAAGTCAGAACAGAGCTCCCAACCTCTGGGACCTGATGCTATCTCCAGGTAGATTGTATAGAAATTGAATTGAAAGACACCCAGCCAGTGTCTACTGCAGAACTGATTTCTTGCTTAGTGGTGGGGAGAAATCCCCACACATCTGGTGTCAGCATCATGTTGTAAGAACATAGTGGGAGACACTGAGTTTATTTTTTCCCCTTCATAGATAAGATAGACCTGTCTTACTAGTTTTGCTCTTCAGGTTGAACTTTGGCTGATATAGGCAGTTAGATATATCAACACAAAATTCAGGAGAAAGGTCTAGAGTGCAGATGTAATTTCAAAATTCATCATCATAGAGATGGTACTTAGACACACAGACTGAATTAACTCACTATGGGAGAGTATGTGGATGGAGAAGACAAGGAGTCCAAGAACACAGTCTTGGGGCACACTCACATTGGGACATTGGGGAGAAGAGGAAGTAGTAACAAAAAATCCTTGGAAGGAGCAGCCTCTTCTTTCTCCCATGCCCCTTGTTAGCTACAGGCCTTCTTTCTGTCCCACTCCAGGGCATGGGCCATTCTTCTTCTCTTGGGCTACAATGTTCTTTCCCTAGATCATTGTGCAGCTGGCCCCTCTCATCAAATGCCATCATCTCCAAGAGGTCTTCTAGATCATCCTTACTAAAGTTAGCACCTCTCACCCAGTTCATCTCCAGTCCATTGACTGATTTTCTTCAGAGACCTTATAATGATTGTAAGTCTTTCTACTCATCTGTTTACATGTTGATTTTCTGGCCCTATTTCCAACCCTCTGAAATTAAACTTTATGAAGCAGGAACTCAGAACTGTATTCTCACCACATAGAATATGCAGGAGGCAAGGCTACCACTGGGCCACAAGGAACCTTTGTGAGAAGAAGAAAATGGAGCCCTTGCTGGCTGGATGCAACACCTCAAGCACATAGGCTGGTGTGGCAAGGAGGGGCTGGATTTCAGGCCCCACATATGCCAGGGGCCCTTGGGCAGGTCACACACAGCACAACCATGTGCAATGGGTCTGACTGGGTAGTCAACGTACTTTGTTAAATTAGTCAATGGAAGAATGTTTTTATCTCTTTTCTCTGCCAGATTCAAGATACACCATGACTTTCAAGGGCCCTGGGTACTTTTGCCTTCATGAGTCTGTTTCTCCATTGAAAAATATTAAAAATGATATTTTATAATTGTGTTGATATAAATACAAGAATATGAAAGTAGAAATTCAAACATTTTCTTTGCCCTGAAAGTTATTTTTTTCTTCTTATTTTAAAAGAAATTAATACATTTAGTGGGCCCCTGAAAGCATTGTGGACTCTAGATTACAGGAGCTCACGCCTGTAATCCCAGCACTTTGGGAGGCTGAGGTGGGAGGATCACTTGAGGTCAGCAGTTCGAGACCAGCCTGGCCAACATGGTGAAACCCCATCTCTATTAAAAATATAAAAATTAGCCAGGCATGATGGCAGGCTACTCAGAAGGTTGAGGCAGGAGAATCACTTGAACCCAGGTGGTGTTGAGATCAATATTGGAAATGGGGGCAGAACCCCCAACCTCTGGGATCTGATGCTATCTCCAGGTAGACTGTGTAGAAACTGAATTGAAAGACACCCAGAAACCCGGGAGGCGGAGGTTGCAGTGAGCCAAGACTGTGCCCATTGCACTCCAGCCTGGGCAACAAGAGTAAAACTTAGTTTCAAAACAAGAAAGACACCAAGCAGGTGTCCACTGCAGAACTGATTTCCTGCTTAGTGGTGGGGAGAAATCCCCACACATCTGGTGTCAGAATCATGTTGTGAGGGCATAGTGGGAGACACTGAATTTATTTCTTCCCCTCCAGAGATAAAATAGACCTATCTTTAGAAGTTTTGCTCCTCTGATTGAACCCAGCTGATACAGGCAGTTAGATATATCGACACAAAATTTAGGAAAAAGTGGAGATCTACATCTACAGTGGAGATGTAATTTTAAAAGTCATCATCATAGAGATGTACTTAGAGCCACAGACTGAATTAACACACTAAGGAAGAGGTGGAGGTTGCAGTGAGCTGAGATTATGCCACTACACTCCAGCCTGGGTGACAGAGCAAGACTCACTCTAAAAAAAAAACAAAAACAAAAACATAAAAAAAGTATCATGGGCTCTAGACACCATCCCCATTGTGCTTTATGGCTAAGTTAGTCTTGGCCTGATATGAACTTACTGTGGAAAGGGACTTAGTTCCTGTTTGCCTTGATTGCAGGCTCTCAATAATGTTTGTTGATTTGAATGATAAATGCCAGTAAGTGGAAATACTAAAGCAGAAATAATAAGATTTCTCTGATTTCTAAATCCTCGTACTTTCTATGTGGACTAATTAGAAATCACAACAGCACGAATAATAGAACTAACTTAAACTTACCTTCTCTCCATATTCAGCCTCATACCTTGCACAAGGTTGCTGGGTAATATCTGGGCCCTTGAACTTGTGTATTCTCAGCAGAAGCTGGCGCTGTGCATACACCAGGAGTGGTGTCACTTGTTCTGTATACCTCTCACTAGACAGGGGTAAAGAACACGTTAAAAAGAAAACATTAGTTAAAAGACTTTTTTTTTCAATGAAGTCTGTTACTTTTGATTGCCCTTAGAGCAGTACTTACTGTGAAACTGTATTGAACTGAATGGCAAGCGATACTAGTGTTTCCCATTTTTCCACTTGATATAAAACTTCCAGAGATTTTAATACAAAGTCTTGGATCCATTTCAAATCAACCACATTTACATCATCCAAAGGATGCTCAAAAGTAAGACTAGAACCACCGTTATCATTTTTAATATTCCCATAACAACTTGGAACACTGAATTCTCCTTTCTCTTCAATAGGCTGCAAGTAGCACAGTGAAAAAAAAATGTGTAATTTCAGATTTTACTCCATATTTTTTCTGAAAACTGAATGTGATAAAAATGTAACATGGAAAAGAACTCAACTGAAAAGAAAAAATATTTTTCTTATGCAAGGCAAAGCTTGATAATTTGATGCAGTATTATCCAACAAAGCTTGCTGTGATGATGGAAATGTGCTACATATTTGTGCTGTTCATTATCGTTCCCTATAGCCACTAGACACCTGCAGCTACCAAGCTTTTGAAATGTGATTAGTGCAACTGAATTTTTAATTTCATTTAATTGTAGTTAATTCGAGTTTAAATTTAAATAGCCACATATGGCTAATGTTTACCATATTGGACAACACAGATTACCGTCTATAGTTCTTGGTATACAGTCACTATCCATTTAAGTAAGGATATGAAATCAATTATGGTAAGATTTTTAGGAAAAAACAGACTTTAGTATAAACACATAACAAAGCCCCCTAATACATTGGTTACCTTCGTTAATTTATACAATAATATGTCCATTCCTAGATGCAAATGTCACACCTATGGAGGATGAAAGCATCAAGGAGACCCTCTTTTTGACTAAAGAGTTACTATGTAACAATCGTGTTCATGTCCTATGAGTTCCTGACACATTTGTGTAGACCTCTGGAAATTATTAAGGCAAAACAAAGCCTCTTAGATCCATATAAGGGCCAGATTATAGCCCAAAACAGTTGGGTAACTCAAGTCCAGCCTTCCCATCCCAATAATACCATTAAAAGTAACCTATATACACGAGTGGGAAGCATCAACAAAAGTAGAGGATAAACATCCCCTCTAACAAGAGCTGTAGTCCCGGAAGTTAGAAGAGACTTTGTAAGTCATCTGGCTGTGAAATGCAGTATGCATACCTGAAGTCAGGCTGTGTAGGTATGAATAGCAGGTATAGCACCAGTGACTTACATGAATTTGCTTCCTCAGCATAGCGCCCAGCACATGGGACATACTTTTAAAAAGTAGTTGACATTTTATTTATGCTATGAGTTCAATACTTGTAATTCACTGATTCTACAGTAAGTCTTCTAGGAGCACAGATCTGCTATCAGTTAGTCATGCCTATGCTTTATTTCTGGGATGAAGGACAGGGAAGTCCTCTGTAGTTATTACATTATCTAATATAGTGTTTATCAACAACGAAGCTGAGGGCCAGGCATGGTGGCTCACGCCTGTAATCCCAGCATTTTGGCAGGCCGAGGCGGGCAGATCAACTGAGGTCGGGAGTTCGAGACCAGCCTGACCAACATGGAGAAACCCTGTCTCTACTAAAAATACAAAATTAGCAGGGCGTGGTGGTGCATGCCTGTAATCCCAGCTACTCAGGAGGCTGAGGTAAGAGAATCGCCTGAACCTGGGAGGCAGGGGTTGTGGTGAGCCAAGACTGTGCCATTGCATTCCAGTCTGGACAAAAAAAAAAAAAAAAAAAAAAAAAGCTGATATTTTATCTCAATTGTCTTGTTCAGCACCCATCTCTCAGTTGATCCCAGTCCAAAAGGGGAGGAGCGGGGGAAGAGAATTATCTATTGACCTCCTAAATTTGGCAATATTGAGAAATAAACAACACTGAGAAATAAACAAGACTGACATTTGGAGATCAAAATAGCATATGGAGATTGAGGATTCTGGCACAGTAAGGCCAGACTCTTTTTAAGTTTTGAAGATTTTGTATGGGCCATGTGTGATTTTTTAAAAACTTTTTCTTAAAGAAAATTTCCAACACTTACAGAAGTAGGGAAAGTAATATAATGAAGCCCATGTGCCCACCACCAGCTGCAATGATTATCAACTCTTAGGACACACCCACTTACCCCATTATTTTGAATTATATCCCCAAAATTATATGAATTAATCTATTAATATTTTAGTATGTATCTCTAAAAAAGTAAAAATTAGTTTTACAAAAACATAACCACAATACTATAATCCTACCTAAAAAAAAACATTAGCAGAAGTTCCTTTAAATCATTATTGAATAATTACACTGAAGAGTGTTTCTATTTTCCTTATTGCCTTACAGCTTTATTTTTTTAACTGTGTATGTTAGTTAGATTAAAATAAGGTCCAAACACTGCAATTGGTTATATCTCTTGTCTTTTTTAATTTATAGATTTCATCTCCTCCTTTATTAAATTTTTTTGTTAAAGAAATCAGATTGTTTTTCTGTAGAGTTCCCACAGTCTGAATTTTACTGAGGATATTACCGTAATTTCATTTAAAATGTTCTTCTGTCCACTGTATTTTCTACAAATCGTGGGATAAATGTAAATATTCTATCTGATTCCAGTTAGATTTCTGTTTTTTGCAAGTATACTCCATTAGGTGCTCTTGATCCTCCAATTCATTCATTAAGAATCACAGAAACCTAATAATTCTAATTCCAACATCCTTTCTTCATTTATTACTTGGATAGTTTTGTAAAGAAAAATTCCCCTTCATCAACTATTTGGTCATCCTCAGATATAGTTCATATAGGAGGTAAGGCAGTCAAGCATTTTTTTTTCCCAAAGAAGCCCTGTTTCCTTTAGTGATACATGGTTTTTAAAGGCAACAATCTAGGTCCTAGAGTTGACATTTCTTTTTGAAACCTCTGAACTGCTTTGACTTCTTTGGTGGAAAAAAATCGTATGTGTGAGTCTATTTTCAGATTCTTTATTTGTTGCATTGATATATTTCTCTCTTTAGGTCAGTATTATACTCTCTTAATTACTGTAGCTTTAGTATGCCTTGATATCATATATATATATAGTAAATCCTCCAAATTTGTTCTTTTAAAAAAATTTTTTTGGCCATTCACATTTTTTTGCATTTGCTTATAAATTTTAAAATGAATTGTCAATTTATACACCAAAGAATGCCTATTGGAATTTTCATTGAGATTTCACTGAATTGACAAATCAAATTGGGAATAATAGATTTATTGATATTAATATATATCTCTTCATTTATTTAAGTCTTCTTTAATTTTTTGTAATGTCTTATAGTTATCAATGTAGAAATACTGTGTAAATTATACATATTTCTAGATACTGATACTTTGGATGATATTTTAAATGAAATTATTTTTAAGTTTTCATTTTCTCATTATTTTCTGCTAGTATACAGAAATACAATTTATTTTTGTATATTGACCTTATATCCTACTTTTTTTTTTAGTTCTAATCATTGCTTTGTAGAACACTGAAGAGTTAGAATTCTCTATGTAAAAAATTATGTTATTCACAAATAAAAACAGTTGTATTTCTTCCTTTCTAATCTGTGTGCCTTCTGTTTCTTTATCTTGACTAATCGCACTGGCCAGGATTTCTGGCATGATGTTGAATAAAAATGCTATGAGCCGACGTCCTTGCTTTGTTCCCATTCTTACAAAGAAGTTCATAACATTTCACCATTAAGCATTATGTTATCTGTAGATACTCTTTTATCAGTTTGAAAAAATTATCCATTCCTCGTTTGCTGAGTGATTTTAACATGAATGGACACTAAAGTCTGCAAATGCTTTTGATGCATCTACATTAAAGGCCATATACTTTTTCTCCTTTATCCTGTTGTATTGGTCCATTTTCACGCTGCTGATAAAGACATATTCACACATGGCTAGGGAGGCCTCACAATCATGGCAGAAGGCAGGGAGCAGCAAGTCACATCTTACATGGATGGCAGCAGGCAAAGAGAAAGAGCTTGTGCAGGGAGACTCCCCCTTATTGAACCATCAGATCCCATGAGACTTATTCACTATCGCGAGAACAGCATGGGAAAGATTCAATTACCTCCCACCAGGTCCCTCCCACAACACGTGGGAATTCAAGATAAAATTTGGGTGGGGACACAGCCAAACCATATCACCTGTTAATATAGTGAATTATATTGATTAATTTTTTTTTGAGATGGAGGTTCACTCTTGTTGCCCAGGCTGGAGTGCAATGGCGTGATCTTGGTTCATTGCAACCTCTGCCTCCTAGGTTCAAGTGATTCTCCTACCTCAGCCTCCTGAGTAGCTGGGAATACTGGCATGCACTACTACACCCAGCTAATTTTGTATTTTCAGTAGAGTCAAGGTTTCAGAATGTTGGTCAGGCTGTGCCACCCAGTTCCCAACAGCAGTTGGGAGTCCTGTTTAGAGGGGGGACTGAGAGGAGGTGCCAGCTGGGCTTCCTGGGTCGAGTAGGGGCTCAGAAAGCTGTGAAACTTACTCATCCTGCATCACGACTTACTTCAGTCCTGGATGAATAATATTGAAGATATATGCTTAAAATATTCCTAACACCAGGATGTGTGCATGTGTTTTCTTCCCCAAGAAAGCTATAAACAGCAAAAATTTTGCTGTAAGTTTCCCTGTGTCCTCTCTCCCTCTCTCCCTTCCCCCTCCCCCGAAACTAAAGTAATAGGAATGTTAACTGCCCATTTTTCTGTGACTAGTGGACCTTATCTATACTCCCAATTTCAATTTCTTGCAAACATACTTTGTACAGTCCTGTAAGATCCTATCTCCTTTGCCATGCCGCTGCAAGGTCATAAAGTAGATAAAACCTAAGTTGCAATTCCGGTTTTCCTCAAAATCTAAGACATGTCACAAAATAATTTACTGCCTTTGTTTCTCATTCTGGTAACATCTTCCTGCTATATGTATTTCCCACTTTAAAGAGTTTAAAAGGCAATCGTATAATCTAACTCTGGCTACCCATTCAGGACCCCTCCCATACTGTGGAAGATTTGTACTTTCACTCTCTGCTCAATAAAGCCTACAGCTTTTTCAAAAAAGAAAAAAAAGAATGTTGGTCAGGCTGATCTCGAACTTCTGACCAAAGGTGATCTGCCTGCCTCGGCCTCCCAAAATGCTGGGATTACAGGCATGAGCCACCACATCTGGCCTGATTGATTTTCAAATGTTAGCCTTAATTTCTGGGATAAACCCTACTTGATCATCATTTGCATATATTTTATATATTATATCATCATTTGCATATTCTGTATATTGCTACAATTGATTTGCTAACATTTCATTTAAAAGTTTTGTGTCTATGTTCATGAGGGATATTAGTTCACACTTTTCTAGTTGATATCTGTTAGGGTTAAGCTGGTCTCATTTCTTAAAAAAAAAAAAAAAAAAAAATAAGTGAAAGGCATGGTAAGCCAGACACAAAAAGACAAATATTGCATGCTCTCACTTATATGTGGCAGCTAAAAAAATGTAAGCATATGGAGGTTAACACTGAAAAGGTAGATAACAAAGACTGGGAAGGGTGGGGGCTAAAGGTGAGAGGAGAGGATGAAGACAAGTGAGTTAAAGGAGCAGTAAGATAAAAGGAATAAATGCAATGTTTGATAGAGGAGGATGACTGTACTTTACAAAAATGTACTATACTTGGGTGATGGACACCCTGAATACCCTGGCTTGATCACAACACATTGTAGACATGTAACAAATTTTCTCATATACCCCATACATTTTCACAAATAAAAATCATTGGTATAAAATTTATTATTTCTTCCACGTGTGTTTGCTCAAATTTTCCAGAGAAATATTGTGGGTCTGGAATTTTCTTTATGTGAAGGTTTCTGATTATGAAGTCAAGTTTGTTAGTATATTTAGGGCAATTCATGTTTTCTGTTTCTTCTTGTGTCAGATTAAGTTGTGCTTTCCAATAAATATGTCCATTTCACCTATCAAATTTGTTAACAAAAATTGATCATATTTCCTTTTTTTAATATCTATAGGATTTGTAGTTATATCCCTCCTCCACTACTAATATGACTAATTTGTGCTTTTCTCACTTTTGTTCTTCATCAGTATTTCTGAGTATACTAGATTTAATAATTTTAAATTTAAAAGATCAAATTTTGACTTTATTGTTTTTGCTTTATATTTATCTAATTGATTTCTGCTCTTATAAATTCCTTTATTTCTTTTTATTATTTCCTTTCTTCTCTTTAGTTTAAATTCGCTCTTCTTTCTCTACATATGAACACTTAGATAATTGATGTTATGTTATTAAGCATTTAAAGCTATAAATTTCCCTCTATGCCCTGCTTCATTTGAATGCCATACATTTTGATGTGTTATTATTAGTTTCAAATATTCTTTAATTTCTCTTATGTTTTCTTCTTTGACTCACGGGATATTTGGAATTGTATTATTTAATTTCCAGATAATTGGAGATTTTTCTTCCTATATTATGGCAATCCATTTATAATTTAATTCTGTAATGATCAAAGAACATACTCTTCAAGAGTTCAGTCTTACATTTTTGAAGACTTATTTTTGCCTCTGCATATGACCCATCTTGGTGAACACACCATGTGCACTAGTGCTCTGTTTCCATTCCACCTGGGTTTACTGTACCACAGTTTTCACATTAACTACCCAGAGTTAGCATCAGACTCCACAGGTTTAAGGGCTCCAGCCTCCATAAGACTGCCCTCACTTCAGATACCAGCCACAAGTCTCCGGTCACCTAATCTTCTGACCGACCAGCTATAAATTCATGGATTTCCATAGCCCCTTCAAGTTGATAATTCACTAGAATGACTCACAGAACTCACTGAAAGCACTGTACTTAAAGTACAGTTTTATTACAAAGAAAACTCAGGAACAGCCTAGTGAAGAGGTACATGGGGTGAAGTCTGAGAGGGTCCCTGACACAGAGCTTCCATGCCCTCTCCCTGTGGAATCAGTGCATGTCACCCTCCTGACACATCAATGTGTTTATCATCCAGGAAGTTCTTCAAGCTTTGGATGTCCAGAATGTATTTTGAATTTTTCTGATTAATTGATGCTCTTCTTAACACAAAATGTCCCTCTTTATCTCTCATTTGCTCCTTGATTTATATTACCTTGTCTAATAATATAGACTCATCAGCTTTTTTATCTTTACTGTTTTCATGGTATATCTCTTTCCATACTTTTATTTTCAATCTATCTGTTTATTTATATTCAGAGTGCTTCTCTTAGTAGACAGGTACATGTGTCTTGCTTTTTTATCCAGTCAGACAATCTCTACCCTTTATTTGGCATCTTTAATCCACTTATATTAAATATAGTTATTGATATTATTGAGTTAGAGTGAATGTTTTCTACTTGTTTTCTCTTTGTCCCATGTTTTGTGTTCTTCTGTTCCTTCTTCCCTGCCTTCTTTTGACTTAATTGAGCATTACTTAGTCTTCCCTTTTACTTCATTGACTTTTCAGCTATATCTCCTTTTTACTAGTTACTCAAGGGATCATCAAATACATCCTTATCACTTAGAGTTAATATTGTGCCACTTTATATAAAGTGTAACAGCCTTAATAATTTGCCCTCTTTGTCTTCTCTGCTATTGCCAAATATTTTCCTCTAGAAATGTTATAAGCCTCATGGTGCATCATGTGTATGTGTTTACTAATCTTGAATGTGTTTAGGTTGCATTCTATTTATATTACTTCCATTTTATTTCCATGCTTTAAACTACAGTGTGATAAATGTTAAATGGCTGTAAATTCTAGCAGACCAGAATAATAGAACAGGACAGAGAAGCAGTGGAATAAAGATCAACCGATCACATCTTTATTCAAGCTACGTGATCTTCCTTGGAATCTATTTCTTTATCTGGCAAAAAAAATGTTATAAGGATTAAGTGCATTAAGGCTAATTTATGTAGGGGCTGGAGTTCAGTTAATGTTACTTTCCCTTCCCTATAACAAACTAAATTTTCAGGCTAAGCTGTTGTTAGTTAACATGAATGCGAGTTATATATTGTAAACAAAATTATAACGAGAAGCAAATGAAATGTAGACAAACCAAATGAGGAATCAAGAAAAATGTCAGTTTCTACTTACACTGAGATGCACAGTACAATGATATTTTTAGCTGAACATAATAAAAATAATTACCAAACTGTCCTTACCTTAATAGAATTGGTATTTTGTAGTTGTATTAACATGTCAATAAGTAATTCTGCTCCCAAATAGAATGGTAAAACAGAGGTGCAGAGGAAACCATCTTGGCTAATAGGAAATGTTTTATCAAGATCCACTGCCTGTTTAAGAATTATTTGTAGTTCCTGAGTAAAGTTCCATAAGGCCCGACAGCAGTTCTGAAGCAGAGTCCAATAGCCACCACGATGAGCAAGAACCTACGACAAACACAAAATTTAAAAGACCTCAAAGTTCCAAAAGTTAGAGATCTCTGAACAAACTTCATCTTTTTGCAAATATTATACGTCAGTAGTAAAAATAACTAACATCATTTGTTAGTGTCACTTACATGAGTTAGACACCATTATATGTATTATCTCATTTAATTCGAACAAAAATTTCCATAAGTAAGTGTGTACTAGGTACCAGTATTTTACCCAATTTACAGATGAGGAAATGGAGCCATGGGTTCAGCACTGATAACTTGCTGAAGGTCATCTGACTTGGAGTCATTTGACTCCAAAAATCCCATTGTTCTAGGTGCTGGGAATTCAGCAGCGAGCAAGGGAAACTGAGTCTGCCCCCACACTGCTTCTGTTCATTTTGGGGGACAGACACTAGAAAAGTAGACCTATGAAAGCATAATTTCAAGCACTAAGAAGTTTTATAAAGAAAAATAAAGCAGAAATGAGTTTGAACCTGACAGAGCATGACAGGACAGTTTGCTTTAGACAAGGTGGTCAGGAAAGAAGTCCTCTCTGATGAGGTAGCATTTAAGCAAACGTCTGAATATTGAACAAGTCATGTGAAAGTGGCAGGGAGGGTGTTGGGTGGAGAAGAACATTTGAGGCTCAGGGAACAGCAAGGTGAAACTGAGGGCTGAGGATGGAACAAACTAAGTGCTTTCAAGACTGCTGACCCATGGGAGTGGGCTAAACAACAGCAAAAGTAAGAGGAGCTGAGTTCTGCAAGGTGTTCAGGACCAGTTCTTACAGGGTCCTGAAGCTGGAGGCCAGGATAGGATTCAATGCTCATGGTCAAAGCAGGTGATCCAGGTTTACATTACATTATGTAAAAATCACTGTCCACTCCATGGGGCATATGAGAACCTGTCTTCCTTTCTTATCTAGAAAGGACAGATTTCTCCTTACCTCTTGAGGAGTTTAAAGTATACGCCCTTCCTGCCATGAAAACAAGAAACTGATTTCTCTGTAGCTAACAATTCCAATTCTGGGTTTAATCATGTCTCATATAATATTTAAGAAGAAAAAGAAAGAAAAGCATTTGAGAGAACATGGAAGTAATGGGAAGAAGGAGACCGGGGGCAGGGGCAGGGTTCTCCTGTAGCCTAGAAAGATCTTTCCCTGTGCTAGAAAGAAGAGAGAGATCTATGGTACCCCCAAGAGAGATCAAGTCCCCATAGAGGAACCCCTTGCATTATGAGAGAACCCCAAGTCTCGGCAGAGAGGTGCATGCATATTCATAGGAACTGCATGAACGGGGACAAAGGCCACCTGGGCTCTGGGTGGATGGATGACAATGACTAAAGAAGCTTCCCCACTCTGCCTGACAACTGGAAAACACATGCCCTCAGTATCACTGCAGGTACACCTCAAAAGTGACAGGCTCACCCAGCAAGATGAGGTCTCAAAGTCACAACTAAAATTATGTATAGTAAGAAAATAAACACAGTGTATCTTACACGCCCGAGTTCATGGGCTGAAATTTCTGTCTACAACACTGCAAACAAGAAAGATTGCATTACCATTGCTCTCCTGCAGTATAAAAAGATTTTCATAAAATGATCCATTACACACAAATTTGCTCCTCGGTCCTTTTCTTTAGCACTAGAACCTGATTGAGAGTCTGAGTCATAAACTGTTTGCATCTTGGACGTATTTTCATCACTCATTTTGGAATTAATAAATGTAGAAAATTCTTCAGCATCTACAGTACAAAAGTAAGACACGACATGATTAAAAACATAGAATTAAGTTCCAGAAAACACAGTAGGTGATAAGGATCAAATGAGTAATTCAGGTAACAAATGGTACACAAATTTCGAGAAAGGACAAGATGATCAGAGATACAATGAACCAGGGAAAGTTTCTAGAGAAGGAGACATTTGGGTCTTAAAGAATGGGCATGATTTAGCTACATGGGCAAATACAGAGAAGGTCATTTCAGACAAAGTCGATGGCAAAAGGAACAATGCAGAAGTAGGAATGTACATGTTTTTTGAAGGGAACAATAGAAAATACCACTGTCCTTTCATTTCCTCCCAAACAGGCCATTCCTAAGACACATATATCAGAAAGTGAGCTGCACCTCTGGAGTTAGGCAGTGCAGCAACCTCAGCCATGCATTCCCCTGCTGGTGTGGCATAAAAAAGAAGGCTTTCTCCTGCCACCAACTTCCTCTTAGAACCCTGCATTAGACAGTAAGTCTCAGTAGCAAAATATTTCATTGCCAATTTCATGGTCGGTCTTAGGTAGAGAGCCAGTTTAAAAAAAAAGAAAAAAAAAAAAAAAACTCAAGAAACTATATCCTACAATCTATATTCAAAAATCAGACTCTATGGCTATGGAATTCACTTTCAAATACTTCACTATACACAGTTGATATGCACATACCTGTGAAGTCTAATCTATATCCTAGAAGAAATCAGAAAGCATGCCAAGTACCTCAAACATAAATTAACACTCCTGGGGCAGTTAACTGGCATACCAAGAACTCTAGTTGGCAATAAATCCCACAGCACTTAAAATGTCATTACTAAAAGTCTATATAAGTGAGTCTGTCAGAGCCTAAAGGTATTAGAAATAAATTTTTATTTGTGAAATGAACCATATCATTGGTTAGAAAGTGTCCAGGTTCTACCATCTTTGCAGGAAAAGGGTGTGGGAATTAGTCAGGTTTGTCGGACTACAGTTTCCAGAGCGCACCCTGATCAAGAACCCTGTTTTTGGCCTGGCATGGTGGCTCACACCTATAATCTCAGCACTTTGGGAGACAGAGGCAAGTGGATCACAAGGTCAGGAATTGCAGACCAGCCTGGCCAACATAGTGAAACCCCGTCTTTACTAAAAATACAAAAAATTAGCCAGGCGTGGTGGCACGCGCCTGTAATCCCAGCTACTTGGGAGGCTGAGGCAGGAGAATCGCTTTAACTCAGGAGGCGGAGGTTGTAGTGAGCCGAGATCGCCACTGCACTCCAGCCAAGGTGATAGTGCGAGACTCTGTCTCAAAAAAAAAAAAAAAAAAAAAAGAACCCTGTTTACCTGCATTGCATGTCTCTACATTTTGGAGGCCCCTGTCACCTGACTAGATAACAAGGCTTCATTCATCTTAGAGGGAGCTTTCTTGAAAGATGCTGGCTGGAAATCCTAGGGCAATGGTGGATTCCCCTGAATACAAAATCAGCTTTCATGATAGTTTGGGTGCCTGCTTGTAGGAGTATGTTTGTAGAAAGTCTTCACCTATCTTGAACCACCAAAGGCTACGAATATTTAATTTAAAACATTGCATTTGCTGAACAATCAAATTGGCTAAGGTTAAAATACAAAATAGATATTTCCAAATATATGTAATATCATAAAACTAGAAATTTTTAAAAATAGAGCAAACAAGAATCTCCTACAAAATATCAAAACTCAACTAAATTGCTGGTCCTCTGGAAAACTGTGTGTATACCTTTGTGTGTCCATGATGTGTATGTGTGTTGTGTTGTTTAGTGAATAAAAATCTAGAGGTAACTTGGTAATAAACTAACGTGTTTATTTTACCTGATGGTAAGTTGGCCTTTCTTTTTTTGGCTGTAAGGAGGAAATCAAGCATTGCTTTATAATTTTCTACAGTCAATTTTCTTGTTGGTAATACTGTTCCTGAATTATACAGTGAGAATATGTTAGGATCAAATGATCGGAAACTGCAAGGGAGGAAAAATCACATTAAAAAACAATATAAGCAAAATTGAATTAAAACTGTCAAATGCAATCTATTTTTATTTTAAAACATTTGTGAGTACTCCCAAATTTTAAATCATGAAGGATTTTGGCACTTAATCAAAGCCCAACATGTTTTCATTAACTTTTAAAATTATACAATGTAATTTCGCTCTTAGGAATTTTAACATCAATATATATTTCTCTGAAAGGGCCCTTGAAAATGGAAATAAAAATATCTGTGCCCACTCTGTAAGCTCTGAAAGAACAATTTATTTCAACTTAAAACCACCTGATTTGAACAGAACTCAGTGACAATGATTACTATATAGAGCAATGTGTCCATGATTAAGGTCATTTCTTTTTTTTATTTCTTATGATTTTTTTGAGACGGAGTCTCCCTCTGTCACCCAGGTTGGAGTGCAGTGGCGTGATATCAGCTCACTGCAAGCTCCGCCTCCTGGGTTCATGCCATTCTCCTGCCTCAGCCTCCAGAGTAGCTGGGACTACAGGCGTCCACAACCATGCCCAGCTCATTTTTTGTATTTTTAGTAGAGACAGTGTTTCACCATGTTAGCCAGGATGGTCTCCATCTCCTGACCTCATGATCCGCCCGCCTTGGCCTCCCAAAGTCATGGGATTACAGGCGTGAGCCACTGCACCCGGCCGTCGTTTCTTTTTAAAAATAAGGTCTAAGCATTAAACAATCTTGCATCAAAAATAATAAAAAGTTTATATTCATTATTCATTATTTTTGATGCAAGTTTGTTTAACGCTTAGACCTTATTTTAAAAAAGAAATAACACTGATTCAAGTAGAACTACCATTTGATTCAGCAATCCCACTACTGGCTATCTACCCAGAGGAAAATAAGTCATTATTCAAAAAAGAAACTTGCACATGCATGTTTATAGCAGCACAATTCACAATTGCAAAATCATGGAACCAACCCAAATGTCCATCAATCAATGAGTGGATAAAGAGATTGTGAGAGATAGACAGATAGATAGATAGACAGACAGACAGACAGACAGACAGATAGATAGACTGATAGATAGAGATAGACAGAGATAGATAGATAGATAGATAGATAGATAGATAGATAGATAGATAGATAGATAGATAGATAGATAGATAGTAGATAGACATAGATAGATAGATAGATAGATAGATAGATAGATAGATAGATAGATAGATAGATAGATAGATAGACAGACATAGATAGATAGATAGATAGATAGATAGATAGATAGATAGATAGATAGATAGATATGATGGAACACTACTCAGCCATAAAAAGGAACGAACTAATAACATTTGCAATGACCTGGATGAGACTGGAGACTATTGTCATATGTTCTTACTGGTATGTGGGAGCTAAGCTATGAGGATGCAAAGACATTAGAATGATATAATGGACTTTAGGGACTTGGGGGGAAGAGTGGGATGGGGGTAAGGTTTAAAAGACAACATATATGGTGCAGTACTCCTCAAGTGATGGGTGCTTACTCATGTAATCAAATACGACCTGTACCCCAATAATTTATGGAAAATAAAATAATAACAAATACTGAGTATATATTAACAGATTTAACAAAATCCAAGTTAGCACCAAGTTATTCTGACACAAATTTGATCATTGTGTTATTGTGTTGCCAAGTGATCATGCATGAAGGGTCATGTACAATTGGGAGCCCAGTGACTTCTCAGAATTCAGAGAAGGGTAAGGAAGCCCATCTGTTCTGAACTGTTTTCCCTGTCATTGCCCTCTGAAGGGCTTCGTTTGCCAAATGCCTTCAAAGTCAGTCAGGCAAACTAACTGCTTCTTAAATGCCAGTCTGGTCTAGCCCACATAGGAAAATGGTCTATCTGGAGACATTTTTGCAAAGGTTCAGTTTGGTAGTGAGTTTAACCAAAATCTGGAGAAACAGAAACTGGGACCAAGTTGATTGTGAGTTTCAACCTGCATTTTTTCCTCACTGGATTACTGAAATAAATACCATCTAATTCATGTCTTGTCTCCAGTCTTTCCTTCCTCCACTCTACTTGGTAAGTTGCTGCCAGAGACATTTTTATCATGGCCCTGCTCAAAAACCCTCAATAATCTTCTACTGTATGTAAAATAATGCTCAGATTTAATAGACATTTAAGACCCACCATGATCTAGTCCCAGCCTCCTTTTCTAACTATTTCACACCACTCTCTTTCATACACCCTAGATTGTGGTCAGACTATTTGGGGTTCGCATCCTGTGTTTTCTACCTGGGCTCTGACTCATGTTCTTCCAACTATTGAGAATGACTATTTCCTTCTCTGCACATTTCTAAACCTTGCCTATCCATCAAGACCCAGGCCCAGTGGCTCCTCCCTATGAAACGTGTATTGCTAGTTCCAATCTAGAGGAAAAGCCTTCTTCCAATAATAAAGAAGATTGGATTTGTACTTCCCTTTTACCATTCATTACAAGCTATTCATGAGCATTTGTGACATACCCTATCAGACCCTAATTAGTATATCTGGTTCATCTTTGTATAGCCATTGCACCTAGCTCAGGGCCTTGTATCTAATAGGTACTCAATAAGTATTCTTTTTTTAATGTGTGACTTTACATCATCCTTTTAATGGCTACAAAGTATTCCATATTATGTATGTATCTTCTATTTTTATCTCCCACAGCACTTAGCCAAAGACACTCAGTAAGAGCTTAAAAATGTCTATTGAGTAAATGATAGAAAATTGACATTGGATGAGTAAATACGACCTCTGTTTATAGAGGCTTAAACTATGCCTCTATAAAATAGACATTTGACTAATGCCTACTAATATCTACATTTATTCTATAATTCATATTAAACTTCTCTTGGAATTACATTTTACCCTTGCACTGAAAGCTAGATCAACAAACATATTCAAGCTGTAATCAAATTATCACTTATATCCAGCATGTAATTGGGAAAGATTCTGAGATTAAAACTTAATAAATAAACCACTGGTCAGTGATACGGTTTGGCTCTCTGTCCCCGCCCAAAGCTCACCTTGAATTGTAAAAATCCCCACGTGTCAAGGGCAGGATGAGGTGGAGGTAATTGAGTCATGGGGGCAGTCTTCCCCATGCTGTTCTCATGATAATGAGTCTCACAAGATCTGATGGTTTTAAAAGCATCTGGCATTTCCCCTGCTTGCACTTCTCTCTCCTGCCACCATGTGTAGGAGGACGTGTTTGCTTCCCCTTCCACCATGATTATAAATTTCCTGAGGCCTCCCCAATGGAACTGTGAGTCAAACTAAACCTCCTTCCTTTATAAATTATCAGTCTTGGGAAGTTCTTTACAGCAGTGTGAAAACAAACTAATACAGCCAGTATAAAGATGAGAAGTACTCTGTAAACCTCAAGTTGTTAGCACCATTGGAGCTCTGAACATACAAATACAATCCATGTTCATGAAACTAAAACAGTATTTTTCATCAATAATATACTATACCTGACCATCATATGTGAAGAGCCAAATTTCATCTTCGTACGCTCCCCTAGCTTTTGTAAAACCAGGTTAAAGTGTGCACCTGCTAGATACAGGTTCATCTGAGCTCTCCAGGGCATCTCTTCAAGTGATACACGATGGAACCTCTTTCTTTTAACATAACCTAATATTAGAGGATTCAAGTAATCTATCAGGTATCGTTGTGCTGCTTTCCTAACACTGGTTCTCCTATTTCTGCCAAGGGAGAAAGAAGTGTTGAAATTACACAAAAACTTTCAGATATTTAATAAAGAAGAATCATTCCAATTTAGAAAGAATACATCAAGAAGTCACTTGACTGCCCTTATGCAAATGTTTCTGGCTTATTTATCATTTCTGCAGTGCTAAAAATATGAACCAGGGTGGTTAAAAAAAGGCACAGAGATAAGCACCAGGGACAATGACACCATGTATTGAGTTCAACCCTCTCTGAAGTCTGTGTCCTCAGCTCAAACCAAACAGAGCTTTTCTTTTTCATAACCAAAAGGCCACTGAGATTAGACAACAAAATTAGGATATGATGTTCACATTCATCAACTAAATTCAATATTAAACAAGAAAATCATTTCTCTGTATTGGTCCTTGAGGAAGAAACAATGTAGCAAAATTTTGTCTAACATTAGTTAAACTCTAGAGGAAATAAAACATCAGTTGAATATAGATGAGATGACTTCATAACTGCATATTCAATACACTCCAGAAAAAAATATACTCAAATTTTAGCTAATAGTTTGGATTTCAAGTATAATATATATTCATTTTTTAAAAATCATCCTATCAAAACTTAAAGTAGTCCAACTATTTGCATGTATAGTTGTTTATAGAACATATCGTTCCAAGCATATTTTCAATTTTTTTGTTCTGTTAGCAATGTTGCTAACCCATTGGTCCGCACCATTCCACTTGATTTATGTTGTTCACTTATATATTGTTCAGAATCTAAATCAATACACACACATATACAAGAAGAAAAGAAAGATGGATAGGAAGAAGGCAGGCAGATGTTGAAACAGAGGAGGAAACATTTGAAGAAAGGAAGGAGGACAGCTTTCTTTTATTGTGTAGTGTTTACATTATCACTCAGTTCTAAATATTTTTTAGTTTATTGATGATTTGCTTTTAATCCAAGATTTTAGGGCTTTTTGTCATTGTTTAGTTGGTTTTAGTGATGTTATTTGGTTTCCCAATAAACGTGAATCTTTTTAATAGCTGATCCTGAAAGTTAAAAATATAATTTCCAAAATGAAAATCAATCTTGTCCCCATGTGAGTAGATCAATTCTCCTCAAAAGGCCAAGATGAGTCAACAGTCGGTTGCAACTTCCTTGCTACGGAGAGTGTGATAGTTTAGGGAGATCAGTGACAGGATAGGCTTCCTCCAGGTATCTTGGCAAGGGAATGACAGACTCCAGGTGGTTCGGAACGGAATTCACAGCCAGCCCACAGAGGATACAGAATGCTTTTCCTCTATCATCTGAACAGTTCTTAACATTCAGGTGCTCCAATAACCTGATTTGTGTCTCCATGAGCAACAGGTCTGAGTACACCCACAGAGAGGGAGCTCCACAAGGACAATCAGCACAAATGCTCAGTGATGTGAAGCCACAAGAGGAAGCAGATAAACACCTGAATTAAAAAATATTTAGGAATCCTGAAACTACCTTCTATACATTCTAGCTTAAGGAAATGAGCTAGCATATTGACATTAGCAGAACCAGGATTCTCACCATTAGGGAAAAGAGTTACAATTAGAAAAAGAGAAAACACTGGAAAGTATCCTGTGGTTTTGAAATGGAATTCCAGGTATTAGAATGAATTTATGGTTTTAGATACATATATATATAGAGAGAGAGACAGAGACAGAGAATGCTATATTTAGATAGATATGTTTAGACAGATGATTGATAGATTTAGATAGATAAATTTACCTGAACAAATATATTTCCTAGCTCAGTCTATCAAGAGGAACTGGAAGCAAAGCCACATTAGTAGCCCTCACAACTTAGATTCTAAATACCATTTCTCACTAAAAGAAATCACTTGACTCCAGGGCTGTACAAGGTGTGTACAAGACGAACATCTTGTGGTAAGAAGTAGCTCAACGAAATGATGGAAACATGTCAAAAACTGAAGAGCTAGCCAAATCTAGAGCAATTTGAGAATCGAAATAAAGAATAATGTTAATTTGATAAAGAATATCCACAGAACAAAACCTACCACAAATACCATTCTCAATGCTAAAATGTTGAAAATATGAAAGTGTTCCCTATGAAATGGGAATCAGACAAATATGCCCACTAACATCACTTTTGTTTTAGCATTGTATTGATGGGATTAGCCAGAATAATAAGGAAGAAAAAGGAAAAGGAGAAAAGGATTGGAAAGTCAATATACAAAAATAACTCTATTTCTACATATCGTCAATAAACAAAGAGTTCTAAAAGAATCATTCCCAGTAACTTCAAAAACATACCTAGAAATTAATCAAAGCAAAGATATGCAAGATCTATTCACAGGAAGCAGAAATTACAAAGATAATTTAAAAACATATAGAACTAAATGAGAATGAAAACACTTTTAGTAAAAAATTGTAGGATGCAGGACAGGTGCAGTGGCTCATGCCTGTAATCCCAGCACTTTGAGAGGCTAAGGCAGAAGGATCACTTGGGCTCAGGAGTTCAAGATCAGTCTGGGCAACATAGCAAGGCCCTGTCTCTACAATTAAAAAATAAAATTTAGCCAGCCGTGGTGGTACATGCCTGTAGTCCTAGCTACTCAGGAGACTGAAGTAGGAGGATTGCTTAAGCCCAGGATTTTGAGGCTGCAGTGAGCTATGATGGTAGCACTGAACTCCAGCCTGGGTGACCAAAAAATAAATAGATAGATAGACAGATAGATAGATAGATAGATAGATAGATAGATAGACAGACAGATAGATAGGTAGATATACACACACACATATATACACACATATATATGTATATATAAAATGATGCAGCTAAAAGATGGCTAGAAGAAAACTTAAATGTTCATGTTTTCTGGATTCAAAGCAATCCCAACCATACTTCTAGCAAGTTCTTTGTTTTAAAATTACCATTGTACAGTGTGTGTCACTTCATGACAGGGATACATTCTGAGAAATGTGTTGTTAGGTGATTTTATTGTTGTTTGAACATCATAGGGTGTTCTTACACAAACCTAAATGGTATAGCCTACTACACACCTAGGCTACAAACCTCTATAGCAGATTAGGATAATAAACACTGTAGGCAATTATGACATGATGGTATTTGTACATCTAAACATAGAAAAGGTACAGTGAAAATATGATTTTATAATTGTATAGGACCACCAGTGTACATGCAGTCCATCATTGATCAAAATGTTATCCAACATGTGAATGTAATTTCAATCTTTCCTCATTAATTATTTCTCTGTTTCTCCTTCAGGTTTTTAAATGTATAGAATCTTTTTGGTTAACTTTTCAAAAACTGGTTTCTATCTTAATTGCATTGAAATAAAATACGGTTCACATGATTCCAATTACTTGAAATTTCTTGAGACTTGCTTTAGAGCCAATAGTATAAAAAAAAGATTACAGACTCAAAGAGACATAGTAATCTCAAAGAAATTGAATCCGTTGGTAAAAATGTGCAGGTATGGTGTGGTATACTACAAACACATATCTGGTACCTGTCCCCTGGTTTCTGGCACAGAGATCTTAAAACCCTTGGAATTTCCAGAGTGAAAGAAATGTGTTACTCACAGAAAGTCCCTGTGGAACATATGTAAGTCTATGCTTAGGAGACAACTCAGGGTAGAGCCTCTAGCTAGGCTCAGGATAGAGGTTATCTTAATCATCACTAAACACATGATTAGAGGGTGAGACCTTTCAGCCCCACCCCTCCCACTGCCTGGAGGGGAGGGTGGCTGCAAGCCAGGCTATGAAAACTCTTGAACTAGGAGGTTCAGGGTGCTTCCAGGTAGGTACAACCACAAGCTAGGAGGGTGGTGCCCCCAACTCTACAGGGACAGAAGCTCCTGTGCTCAGGACCCGTCTGGACTTTGCCCTTGGTATGTACCTCCTGACCTGGCTGTTCATTTGTATCTTTTACATTAAGCTAGTAAACATGTAAGGTGTTTCTCTGAGTTTTGTGAGCTATTATAGCAAATTTTCGAACCCGAGGAGGGAATCTCTGAATTTATAGTCAGCTAGGCAGAAGTGTGGGTATCCTGGGATCACATTTGTGACCGGCCTCTGAAGTGGTGGCAGTGTTGTGGAACCAAGCCCTTTAACTTGTGGGATGTGCTGCTAACTCTGTGTCGACAGTGTCAGCATTAAATTGTCTTTTCATACTATAATTATGCAGGATGTTATCCTAAGGAGAAATTACATGAAGTGCATATGGGGCTGCCCGGTTGGTGCTGGAGAATTGGTTGGTGCTGGAAAACACCATATGGTTTGTGTCAGAAGTGGTATCAGCAAAAAGATACTACGCATCCTTGAACATTTACGTAATAATGCAGTTTGTTGCATGATCATATTAAAGAAAAAAATCAATGAAAAAGAAATATTAAACAAAATTCAACATAATTTATAACAAAACTCTTAGAAAATAAAAAATGGATGACAGTTTCCAAAATGTGATAAAGGATTTCATCCCGAACTCCAAAGCAAATATAGTACTTAGAAGGGAAATAATAAATATATTTTTAAAATTCATGTTACAGACAAGTTTATTCTAAAATGTATATGAAATGGTACAAGAAATAGATCTTTAAATTCATGTTATAGACAAGCTTATTCTAAAATGTATATGAAATGGTACAGATCCTAGAGTAGCTAAAACAATTTTGTAAAAAAAATAAAGTGGAAAGAATCACTCTACTTGATTTTAAGGTTTACTCTATAACTACAGTAATAAAGAAAGAGAATGTGGTATTGGCAGAGGGAGGCACATAGATCAATGGAACAGAATACAGAACTCAGAAATAGATCTGCACAAATATGTCCAGCTGATTTTTTACAAAGGTACAAAAGTGATTCAATGGAGGAAGGATAGTCTTTTCAAGAAATGACATTGGAACAATTAGATATCCGCAGGTAAAAACATGAAGTTCAATCTAAACCTCACATCTTATGCAAAAAATCAACTCAAAATGAATCACAACTTAAATGGAAAACATGAAACTATAAAACTTAGCAGGGGAAAAAAAGGACCTACGATTAGGCAAAAAGTTTTGAGGTTTGCCACCAAAAGCACAACCCATTAAAGGAAAAATTGATAAGTTGGACCTCATCAAGATTTAAAAATTGTGCTCTGCAAAAGATTCTGTGAAGAGGATGAGAAGACAAGCTACATACTGGGAAAAAGTTTTGCCAATAACATATGCAACAAAGACCTTGTATCTAGACTATATAAAGAACTCTCAAAATTCAACAGAAAAATAAAAACAGTCCAATTAGAAAATGAGCAAAAGACATAAACAGACATTTCATTAAAGAGGATAGATAGATGGCAAGTAACCATATAAAAAGATGTTCAGCTGGGCACAGTGGCTCACGCCTGTAATCCCAACACTTTGGGAGGCTGAGGTGGGTGGATCACAAGGTCAGGAGTTCAAGACCAGCCTGACCAACATGGTGAAACCCTGTCTCTACTAAAAACACAAAAATTAGTCAAACGAGGTGGTGGTACATGCCTGTAATCCCATCTACTCAGGAAGCTGAGACAGGAGAATCACTTGAACCAGGGGGGCAGAGGTTGCAGTGAGCCGAAATTGCATCACTGCACTTCAGTCTGGGCAACAGAGCAGGACTCCATCTCAAAAAAAAAAAAAAAAAAGATGTTCACTATCATTAGCCATTAGAGAAATGCAAATTAAGGCCATGAGATATCACTACACACCTATTTTAATAGCTAAAATTTTAAAAAACGTAATAATACTCAACGCTGGAAAGCATGAGTAGAAACTAGATCATTCATATACTGTTGATGGGAATGTAAAAATGAGGAGCCAGTCTGCAAAACAGTGGAGGATGTCTTACAAAATTAAACATGCTTACCATTTGACCAAGCAATTGCACTCTTGGGTATTTATCACAGAAAAATGAAGATTTATGTTTATGTAAAAACTGCACATGAATGCTCATCACAGTATTATTCCTAATAGTCAAATGCTATTGGGTTGGAAACAATCAACAATCTAAATGCTCTTCAATAGGTAAATGGTAGTAAAATACGGAACATTAATGCCATGGAATACTACCAAGCAATAATAAGTGAATTCTTGGATACACACAACTTGGGTGACTCTTAAGGGAATTATGCTAAGTGACACAAAAAGCCAATCTCAAAAGGTTACATACTGTAGTGGTCATACAAATTCTACAGACTGCATAGAATACACACACAGACACACAAACACACACACATGTGCATGCAAACTTGCTATAATCCAAATAAGGTCAGTGGATTATATCAATGTCAATTTCCTGGTTGTGATATTGTACTATAGTTGTACAGCTATCATTAGAAACTGGATGAAGGGTATATGGGATCTCTCTGTATTATTTCTTATAACTGCACATGAATCTATAATTATCTGGAAATAAAAAAGTTTTAAATACACATCTTACAACAAGGATGTCCACAATCCACAAACGCTTTTCCTGATTAAACTCTAAGTCCTAGCCTGTAGGCTAAATATGAAAAGGAAAGAAGAGGCTGGAGCATTAGAAAGGAATAAGTAAAACATTATCTCTTCAGATTATGACTGTCCACACACACAAAAAAAACTGTATCTACAAATAAATTATCAAGTTGTTTAGAAGATCAGTATGCAAAAAAATCAATTATACACCTATACAAAGAATAGAAAAATTCAAAAATGTAATTTTAAAATAGCATTTACACTAATATCAAAAAACAGTTCCTTGATGTATCTAACAAAAGATATATAACATGGTTATGGAGAAAATCATAGAAATTTATTGAAAGGCATTAAAGACCTAAGAAAGTGATCTGTCTACTAATAGAAAAACACAACAGTGTAAAAAAAATGAATAAATAATTTTTAAAAACCTTCCTATACCAATATATACATTCAATTCTATCTTTATCAAAATCATAGTAGAGTTTTTTGTATTAATCAAAAAATCATTCCATTTTGTTGAATAATACCCAAGACTTGCATGAAGGAAAAGAATATTCTGGAGAAACTTGTTCCTCACACAGCAAAACTCAATTTAAAGCTAGAGTAATTACAGTGGTTTGATATTGACTCAGGAATAAGTTAACAGACTAATCAAACAGAGAAGAGATCCCAAAGCTACATATATGAAAACTTGCTAAGTGATAAAGTTAACAGTGACAATAGAATAGACTACTCAACAAACTGTGCTGGTCAACTGAATACCGGTTACAAAACTAAAAAAAAGAGAATGAAGGGGACTCATCTTCTCACCATATACAAAAACAAATTAATGAAATTCCTAAATATGAAAATCAAAACTTTAAATTCACAAAGAGAATATCTTTACTACCCCAGATTAGGAAAGAATTTCCAAAACAATAAAGGGAAACATTGATATATTTGACTCCATTAAGAATTAAAACTTTTGAATTAATTATTAAAGAACTTTAAAATGTGAACTGATGAGCCACAAACTGGGAGAAGCATTAGCATCCAAACTTATAAAACTAAAGAAGAAAACAAAAGTTTTTAAATGTGCAAAGAATACAAACAAGCAGTCCTGAGACTAGAAAAACCGTTGGGCCAAATAAAAACATAAAAAGATGCCTAACCTTAGGAATCAAATAAATGAAAATTGAAACAACAACGAGGCAAAATTTCATACCACATAGTTCCACAAAAATGTGATAATAAAATCAAGCATTGGTGAAGACCTTGAATAATGGAAAATTTTCACAACATTGATAAAAATTTAAGAGCAACTTAGCAATATCTAGTAATGCTAAAATGTTCATATCTTGAAAACCACAACCCTATGTATTTACCCTACAGAAACTCTCACACATACATAAGGAGATACATACAAGAATGTCCTTTGTAACATTGTTTACAACAGTGAAAAGTTAGAATTTCAATGTTTATTTATGGGAGACTGAATAAATCATTTAAAACATTTATTATACAATGTATAATATATATTATATAATATATGCATAATAAATATATATTATTTATATTATGCATATTAAATTATGTGTGTTATTCATATTTACGTGTATGTGTTATGCATACAGAAATATGCATACAATAAACACAATGCATTATACTATTACTATATAATTTATTATATGATATTTATTTAGTATATAATGAAATACCATTCAGCAGTGAAATTAAGAAAGTGGACTTATGTATAGGTGACATTTCAAAAAATCACAAACATAATATTGAGAGAAAAAAAGCAAATTTCCAAAGCAAATCAGAAAAAATTATAGCATGCATTATTTGGGGCTTATATATACATATGTGGTTGACATACGAATTCACTCATCAGCATAATAATAACGAAATTTGGGGTATTATTTCCAGAATAGAGGAAAACAGAAATGCATACCAGGATGGGTACATGGGGATTTCAACTGTGTTTGAAAGGTTTTACATGTTAAATGGCATAGTTGTTATATTATTTTTTATACCCATATGTCATAATTTAAATAAAGAAAATGAAGGAATAATCAAAGAGATAGTAGGCAAATGCAAATAAAAACAAAGCAGAATTGGTTCTATTAATATCTATGTTGTGTAAATTAAAATCAAAATCACTAAACAGGTATAGAAAAACATTAGATCATGAAGGTAAGATATATAATGTATAAATAAAAAATTCTTATACATGTGTACTTATAAAAATAGAAACTAAACATTTTGCCATATTTTGTAATCAAGAACTTTAGGTTCACTGATAATTTACCAATTTGTTCTCCTAACCACCCTATCTAAACTATTGCCACCACCACCTTCACGTCAAGCCAAATATTCTATATTATTTCATTTACTTTATAACATTTATCAACATTTTTAACTGTCTTGTTTATTTAGGTGTTTACTTGTTTACTATGCTTTTTTCATTAGTATGTAAGTTCCTCGAAGGCAACGATTTCACCCGTCTGATCCACCAGTGTATCCCTAGTACCCAAAATAATGCCCAACACATAGTTACCCTCAAGTAAACTTTTATTGAATTAATTAATTAGTTAATACCTTTCATGTGCCACCATTTCAGAAATAGCTGGATTTTTTAAAATGAAATCTCTTAGAGTTTCCTTTTTTTTACTTCTTACTCTTTGTGACATTTCTGCACCCTTAATAGAGGAGATAAAATTTTACAAGTTAAATTCAAACTTTAAACACAGTAGTATAATTTATTCATACTCTAATGCTTATCTCTTGACATTGAAATACAGTAGTTCATACCCTCAACTAAAATTATTATCAAAGGCAACAGAAATACCCCTGTAGACAAAAAACTCTGATTATAACAATATCTACATGTTAATCTAAAAGTTGTACTGTGTAATTATAAAATTATGCTTGTTAGTATATCCTTCTGTTTCATATTATAATGAGTTTAAATGTAGCCAATCATCTCTAAATACATGAATCTCTCAATTTCATTACCTAAAATTCAAAACTCATACGAAACTTACTTTTCCAATTTCCATTACTGCAGCTTTGAACTTTAAATATTTTTTTACTTTTTTACTCAAAGTACTCTCCTTATATTTCACTTTTATTAGTCCAAGTAGAGACTCATTCCTCCTAATAAAAAAGATAAAGTCAGTCAAAAAGACCTGCAAAAATGTGCAGAACTACCCCCAAAGTAATATGTCTTTAAAGTTTTCACTGAAATTATGCAAGAATATCCAAAACTGCTTGTGTCCTATGCATAAATTAGACTGTGATATCTCTGTTCAGCATGAAATAGTCAGTCTCTCAAAATAGCAAAGTGTAAATCATATCATAAAATGTGACTGTCAGTGAAGATGTTGAATAACAGAAACTTTTCACATTGATAAAAGTTTAAGAGCAACTTAGCAATATCTTAACTAAGCAATATCTTAACTAAATAACTTAACTAAGCAATAACTTAGTAAAGTTAAAATGTTCATATCTTGGCAACTACAGCCCTGTATATTTACAGAAACTCTCACATATGCATAAGGACATATGTATAAGAATGTCCTGTCCTTTGCAGCACTGTTTATAATAATAAAAAATTAGAAAGAATTTAAATGCCTATTTACAGGAGACTAAATAAATAAGTTTTAAAATGTATTATACAATGTATAGGAAGGCCGCAGTGGCTCATGCCTGTAATCCCAGCACTTTGGGAGGCCAAGGCGGGTGGATCATGAGGTCAGGAGATCGAGACCATCCTGGCTAATACAGTGAAACCCCGTCTCTACTAAAAATACTACAACAACAACAACAACAAATTAGCTGGGCGTGGTGGCGGGTGCCTGTAGTCCCAGCTACTCGACAGGCTGAGGCAGGAGAATGCCATGAACTCGGGAGGTGGAGCTTGCAGTGACCCGAGACAGCGCCACTGCACTCAACCCTGGGCAACACAGCGAGACTCCGTCTCAAAAAAAAAACAAAAAATGCATTATACAATGCATAACAGAGAATATGCTGTATGTTATAATCATATAATAAAAACTCCCATAGGGCCTTCTATAGGGAAAAAGAGGAGTTGAAGGCATGATGTAGATGGAACAGAACTGGATTGAAAATGAAATAACCATGGACACTTCTTCCCTTATAACTCGGAGAATACTGTAAAAGTAATCCTAGACAAGCTTCCTTGCTTCCAACAGATTTCAATCTCTTTGGTTCTATCTTTTGCAAGCTCCCAGCCACTGCTGCCCTCTGAATACCAACAGGAACTGAGCTGATCTTTTCCCAATACTATAGTCTCTCACTGTCCCTTTATTGATACTTGCCTATTTTTCCTGAAATTTCTATTTTTTTAAAATTTATATTTCTTCATAAGCACTAGCCAGGTACAGCAAAACTGCTTAACATGATAAATGGGATCCCAAAACTTGAATAAAATATAGGGTCTTATTAATGCAAGGCTAATGAAATGACGGGGTGAGCCTGGATAGCTAGTTCTAGGGGTTGGAACTTGACCCAAATCCATCTTGGCCCCTTCGCTCCAGTTTTGATGAAGATGATCCTAAGCCCATGGTTGTCTGGAACCCCAGTTCAGTTGTAACAATCCTAATCACCCAGTTAGTTGACATTCACTTGGGCAAAAGTTTTGCTGCCTAAATTAGAAGCCTTTGATCAATGACCATAAGGGACTTGGGGAGCCATCCTCCACAACTTGAAGCCTAAGACTGCCTTCCATTTCCAACCAGCTAGGTCTCTTCTCTACAGCCTCTCCTCTCTCTCTCCCTCACTACCAGCGTGCTTGACCAGGTTGTTATGTTCTTCCAGAAAGAGACGGGAAGGAGAGGAGGTCACATTTAGACTACAGTCTTTGCCACCATCTCAGCATTCTCCTCCAAGCACAGCAGAACCTTCATCCATTGAATAAATTAAACTCATCCACTCCTTGATCTGTTCACTGTTCTGTGGAGCTCTGACTGACCGCTTTTCATTGTGATAAATAGTATTTTAAAATTTTTATGCAAGTCAACGTTACTGAGGACTTGTTCATTGTTTTAACTATTCATACAGTCACGTGTCACTTAGCGGCAGGGATACATTCTGAGAAATACTTTGTTAGGGAATTTTGTCATTGTGTGAACATCATCGAATGTACTTATGCAAACCTAGATGGTATCACCTGCTACACATCTAGGTGATATAGTACAGCCTATAGCTCCGAGACTACAAACCCGTACAGCATGTTACTATACTGAACGCTGTAGGCGATGTTGTAACATAACAGTCAGTATTTATTTATCTAAACATATTCGAACATGGGGAAAGTACAGTATAAATACAGTATTATAATATTATACTCCTCTTCCAGAAAATCTCTTATTCTTAGGTTAGACTTCCACAGCCAGCCCTCCACATTTGCCTGCACACTGAAAGTATCTTCTGTTTTTCTTTGGAATCAAAAACATTATTCAACCCTCCTAAACATCTAATTTTAGCTGTTTTTAAAAAAATTTAATAGAACTCTAATTCTGAACAATTATGTTATTATCATGGCCTGTTTCATTTAATATAAGCAATTTCTTCTTTTATCTTTGGAAAGTATGAAGCACATATACACTCTAAGCTTCTGTTCTAATAAATGAAGTACCTATTTTAGAAAGAATATCTTTCTGTTTGTTTTTAAGGGAATGCTTCTCTTTTGCTACCATTTCAAAACCAGGTTTCATGTTACTGATGTTTACTTTTATTAAAATGGGATGGACAGATCAATGCCCAGTGAAGAAAAGCCCACTCTCAGTTGGCAAAAGAAAAGTTGGATTAATTTGGCATCTCTCATAATTGGTGTGAAGCACTATCATTTTATTTGGGAGCAAAGAGAATCATTCAGGCTTAGAGAATAGGAGGGACAGTTTTAAGGTTTACTGCTTTTATTTGAGGAACTCCCTCTTCACATATACAAATGGAAACTCCAAGAAATGGCTCTATTTGTTACCACAGAAGAATTAGAAACAAGCGGGAAATGACCAAACTGGAGCCAAAACCTTGTGTGAGAAAGAACTGATGGCCTAGAGATACTATTAGCCATCCTGACTCAATAGCGAAAGACTTCATCTGTTTCCAGCTAGAGATATGAACATGCTCGATTCTCATTTGTGAGTACACTGTATATATATTTTTAGTTTTAGTTATTTCTTTACACAGACATAAGTTTTTACTATCTCTTAGGTGGTGGTTTTAGCTGTATATACTCCACTCTCTTTTTCATCTACCTTGTATTTCTTAAAACTGACAATGATATTCATTTTTTAAAGTTGTTAATATGTATAAAACTGATAATTGCAAGTACCTTTTCAAGAAGTCGTGGACAGGAGCTGTTACCTCTACCAAAAGGTGAAATTTTTCCTCATTCATGCATTTTAGCATAACTTGCGTAAAGAATTCCAGAAATCTTGGTTTTTGCTTAAATTTCATAACTGTAATAACAAGGAAGTTCAGATATAGTTACCAATATACTCAATTATTAGTACCGAAGGGTTGCCAGTGCTAGCAGTCATTTTGTTCCAACAGGCAAGTTTATTAATCTGCTTTTTAGATTTCTCCATTTTAAAAAGTATATAGGAATAAATGTGGTGTGAACTATTGTTTTTCTAATATCAATGAATGTTTTACAGTCTATATTAAATTTATTTTCTAAATATCTCAGCACTGAGAAAGATTTCATTAAGGTCACTTCTAATGTATGACTAACTGGGGGAAAAAGTTATTGATAATTATCCTAACTAGTAATCCTAATTTTTACTATATTTCACTCTGAATTAATCAATTATGTTGCCATTTCTCATCAGCTAAACTTGAAAGTCACTAATACATTTTTCTTTTTTTTTTTTTTTTTTTTTTTTGAGACACAGTCTCACTCTCTTGCCCCAGCTGGAGTGTAGTGGCATGATCTCAGCTCACTGCAACCTCTGCCTCCCAGATTCAAGCGATTCTCCTGCTTCAGCCTCCTGAGAAGCTGGGATTACAGGCGCCCACCACCCAATGCCAGGCTAATTTTTGTATTTTTAGTAGAGACAGGGTTTCATCATGTTGCCCAGGCTGGTCTCAAACTCCTGACCTCAGGTGATTTGCCTGCCTCGGCCTCCCAAAGTGCTGAGATTACAGGTGTAAGCTTCTGTGCCCGGCCACTAATACATTTTTCAACGCCCTAGTTTTCGTAAGCTTCATAACACCACCATTCACTACCAAAATAAGCCACCATCAAGATTCTGTCTTTCCAGACTTTAAATCAGGTACCCATTTAGGTCTCTTTCATTACTTGGCAATCAAGATTCTGCATTATTCTGAGTGGGTAAGAATTCAAAATATTCTGCCTAAAACAGGTGAAATCTTCAAGTAGACAACAGAAACAAAATCCACAGAATTAATTCTCTTCGGTGATAAATCGAGTGAACAGCATATACACATCCAGTTCACCTACCTTCCTTCACGGCACCTTTGACCGACCAATTCAAAACTACGGGATAAAGAAATATAGGGTCCTCTCCTCCTGAGAGTTCAGATGTAACATCTAAGGTTAAAAAATTCAAAAGTTATATGTTCTGTTTAATAACCCAAAATACAAGTTTTTTTGAGTGATTCACAATAACAATTATTTGAAAGACATGAAAAAACAGGAAAATACTAAAGTATTTATTCTAAATTATGTGCCTTAACATAGCAATTATAGCATTACATTTTGGAAATAAAAATAATCTGATGAAATTATTTGCTTCACTGTTCCCCCTAAAAGCTAAGGGGTCCACCACCAAATAGGTAAAGAGTTTCCAAGGCATGATTCTCTCCTCTTTAACAGCTGTCATATATCAGCAAACCCAAGACTCAGAAATCTACCAATTATATTTACTCCATTTTAGCAAAACTATCTTTAAAAGGCAGTAAAGTATAACACAGCCTGGAGCCAGACTGGCTGGGTTCAAATTCTAACTATGACAACTTTTTAGTTATGAAACCTTAGAAAGTTATTTAGCTTCTCTGTGCCTCAGTTTCCTTATCTTTATAATGAAGACAATAATAGTACCTTCCTCATATGGTTCTTATATACAGGTTGCATGAGTTTTAATGTGTATATTTTATAAAAATAGTATATTTTGTAAAATAGTAACTGGCACACAGAAAACACTGTACAAAACTATCATTTTATTATTGTTATTGAATTTACTATTCTTTTTCTAACCATTAGACCACCAGGGAGAATTTACTATTCAGCTAGTTATAGCCCATTGTGCTTCTTGGTAAAATATTTTTACTGATATTATGAAAATAAATAATTCACATTTCTAGAACACTGTATATTTTAAGGAATTATACTTTATATAGTAATAAGATGATTATAGCTTTCCTAAAGCTAGGTTAACCAATTATGGGAATAATCAAATACTTAGTTCAATTCATAAATCCATGCTTGAAACAGGCATGGAACATATTAAAAGAGAGAGATCCAAGTCAGCGAAGCCCACAAGACAGAACTGAGGCACACAGTAGGAGAGGTGAGGTAGGGACATGGAATTCTACAAGTGTAACCTCGTCCCCAAAGGCCATGGGGCAAAAGTAGAGCCTCATACTTGGTTTAAGGCTCAAATTTGGACACTCTCTTGTTCTAGAACATTTGAAATACCTGCTTTTTAAAAATGTGACAATACTAATCATCACCAGAAACTAACTCAATTTCCCAAGTAGCCTTCTAGGCTGCAAACTCCAAAATACCAATCATTGCATTAACACATTGGTTTATTATGAAATCACTACAGTACGATGACCTAAAATTAAACTAATCTTTCACTCTGCTTTCTACTCTGGAAGGCATTGGTTCAAACCACTTACACATTAACACTCACATTATTCCTTTATTTCTCAGTCGCACTTTTTACTTCAAAGCAGTGATTTTTGTGCCACCATAACCCCCTCCCACTCTCCCACCAAGGATACCCAGATGGCTGTCACAATTAGGGGGTGGTGTGCTGTGCTTCTGTGAGTAGAGGCCAGGGAGGCTACTCAATATCATACAGTGCCAAGGACAGTCCCCACAACAAAGAACTACCTGGCCCCAAATGATAATAGTGTCGAGGTTGAGAAAACCTGCTTTAGAGTCAGAAGACACAGGCTCAAGTCCAAGTCAGCTATGTAATCCTATGTAAATCACTTAATCTTTATGAGCCACATCTGTAAAAAGTGGTTAGCAATCCCTTATTAACAGGGTATTGTTAGGATTAATGATATAAAAGCACTGTGTAAACCTTAAAGGGTTTACCAAATGCTAATCTCATCTTAATCCTTTGAACAAAATTTTTTCTCGTTTTAAAAAACTTAATGCTAAACGGAAGTATACAGAAAAAAAAATGATTACATTGCTTTGTCAGTTTGAGTAGGTGTGTTTCCAACAAGGCCAGCTGTTCATTTATCTTTTCAGGCAATAGTATCTGCTGTGGCTTCTTAGTCTTTAAAGACTTCTTAGAAGAATCCTAGAAACATTGGTTAAATGTCAAAATGTACTTTAACGTGTTGCGACAACTGTCATTTTCAAACAACATTCTTTAAATTCTGTTTTCATACTTTCATACTTGGTAGATAAAACTATGATCCACATAACAATATTAATTAATAACAATGAATAATAACAGTTATTGTGCTCTAATTAAATGTAGACACAGTACTGTGTTTCATGGAGATTGACCAAAATACTGCTTCTTTTCCCTCTCCCTTTGTCCCAGTAACTTTCACCTACTTAGCCAGCCCCCTCCAAAACCTGCATTCTCAAAGCAGCCGAGGATATGTCTCTAAAAATCTTGAAAAGACAATTCCCAGCCTGCCCTCAGAAATGTACCCCTTTATTCTTTTTTCCCTTTCTTTTTCCCAGAAGGAGCTTCTTTACAACTAAGCTAATTGCCTTTGCTACTTTGCCTTTCATTGAAACATAAGGAGATCAGTAATTAGTGGATTAAGAATTGGCCTGTCTGCGCACTCAGGCTCACTACCAGATTTTTCCTGTCTAAGCCTGAGAACTGACCTGTTAATGTCTCTTGTTCAAAAAAAAACCTTTCAAGCCCCTTCAGGTTTAAAGGAATCTTGAGTAGCTCTAATAATTTCTGACTCCTATAAATTAACAATCTCTACAATCTTAGATGAAAGAATCACAAACTTCTGCTGGACTATAAGCTTCAAGGAGAGAGGCATGAGGCCTGTCCTACCATGATGTGGAAGGCCCTGAGTCAAGGCCTGGGTGACATAAAAAGGCTGATGGACTCTGAGAGTAGACACTGCATGGAAAAAAACAAACAACCAACCCTCAAATTGCTTCCAGCTTAATCAAAAATCCCTCTAGACAAAACATCCTCCCAACTAGAAAAAAAAAAAAGTATTATACCTTAAAAAGTCATCCAGTAAAACAGTGGTGATTTTTTTAAAGATTTTTTGGGCAAACAAATGCTTACTTGGAAATTCAACATATCACAGAGATAGAAATGGAGCTTACTCTAAGTGAGACAGAGTCAGGGATGAGAGCCTCTACCTCCACCCAAGCCATGGAAGGGACTTCAAGTAATCCCTAGTACCCTCAGAAACCCAATGAACTGGCCAGGCACAATGGCTCATGCCCGTAATCCCAGAACTTTGGGAGGCCAAGGTGGGAAGATCACCTGAGGTCAGGAGTTCAAGACAAGTCCGGCCAACATGGTGAAACCTCATCTCTACTAAAAATACAAAAATTAGCCAGGTGTGGTGGCACATGCCTATAATCCTAGCTACTCGGAGGCTGAGGCAGAAGAATCACGTGAACCCAGGAGGCAGAGGCTGCGTGAGCCAAGATTGCACCACTGCACTCCAGCTTAGACTATAGAGTGAGACTGTCAAAAAAAAAAAAAGAAAAGAAAAGAAAAGAAAGGAAGAAAGAAAGGAAAGAAAGCAACCCAGTGAACTAAGTAACATGTCAAAACTTGATCTACAAAAATATGTAACTACATAGTTTCAAGGAAAGGCAATAAGCATAAGCTCTTGTAAGACTCATGCTTGGAAGGCAGATATTAAAAGTTCATCTCAAAAATTAGCAGTCTCATAAAGAAGAGAATGTAGGTGTCACAGTGAGTTTCAGAAATCTACTTTGAACACAAAGTAAAAAAATGCTGACATGTATTTGCTACATTCGATGATCCACCCAGAACAGTAAAATCTTAGATTTGGAAGAGACTTTAGAGAGCTTTTAAGTCCAATGTCCAACTGGGTGTAAGAAGCTCTCTATCATCACCTAACTGATGGTTGGGACTGGTGATGGGGACTATTCAGTATGCTAGCAGAGATTCCTTTTTCATTTTCTTGACTATAACAACAACAAAAATAAAACCCAAAAGCTCTTTACTATAATACTTTACTTATATGTAAATATAACAAGTGTAAAACTTATCAATTTTCTAATACGCTTAATAGTACTACATTAACCCTAAAAGATGCAAACTAAACATAGGTTTAAAAATGAGAAACAGAAACAGTTACCTCCTCTGGCATTTCTTCTTGTTCATTACTACCATCAAACAGAGACTTGCATCCCGGTGTGATGTCCAACATTTTTTTCCCATAATTTATAATCATTACTGCCAGGTCATATTCCCTCCATGAACGAAGAATCTAATTTAAAATATTTATTAATTATCTCTGTTGGGCATTCTTGTCTATTTTCAAGTATAATGGATCATTTTTCATAAATTCAAAAGCCCCATAGAGTTTTCAGTCTAAGAATCCCCCTTTTATTGTTAAGAAATCTGTAAGTTTACCTCCAGATCGTATTAACACATTGAGTGCAATTAAAGATGCATAATTCAACTATTTTAAGTAAAGGACTAATAACGGGATCTCATCAATAATAAACTTCCCATATCTCTGGGCCATATAGCCATATACCTTCTGATACAGTGAGTTAACTATTGAGAAAACAATTCCTTTCAAAAAATCCATATTTAAAAAGTCATTTGTAAAGGCCACATCACCACCACTTCTTATATTGAGTTGCTTTCTATGGGAAATGGCACAATTACTGACCTCATGAAGTCTTAAGCATTTACATCACTAAGTGATTTATAAGACATTCTGCTAGAAGGCTAGGCTAGATACAAGCTGTTTTTGGCAGATTCCCCATCAACCCTAGGGGAAGTGTGCACTGTAGTCATAATGGGAAGAGGCCTATTTAGCCTCTCTCACATCCCCTAATACCAGTTCTTTGGCCTTATCTATTCTGGCCCTTACCTACCTTTCTAAAGTAACCTTCCACTACTCATCTCCTTGATGAGATATTTTAATCTTACAAAATATTGAGCCAGTTATAAAATCTGACAGTCACCATTGTGTTACAGGACTTCATGTCTTCCCACAGCTGAGCCATTTCCCAGAACAGCTTTCTGCACCTTGTTTATACAGCTTCACCTTGCCATTAAAACCTTGGCTCTAGCATCAACTTCAGGAAAGCTGCCCTGGTCAGCAATCTGATTTACATTTATTCTGCTGTAGGGAAGGGTCAAAGAAGGGGATACACTCATTGTGAGCCCCTTAGAGCAACTGGGGTATAAATAAGTTTGTGTGAATTTGTTATATGCAGATATATTCTGTTGAGTATGTTAGTATTTAAGACAAGTGTATTAGTTTGTTCTCACACTTATAATAAAGACATACCCAAGACAGGGTAATTTATAAAGGAAAGAGGTTTAATTGACTCACAATTTCACAGGGCTGGGGAGGCCTCACAATCACGGCTGAAGGTGAATGAGGGGCAAAGTCACGTCTTACATGGTGGCAAGCAAGAGGGCCTGTGTAAGGGAACTCCCCTTTATAAAACCATCAGATCTCATGAGACTTATTCACTATCACGAGAACAGCACAGGACAGAACTGCCCCCATGATTCAATTACTTCCCACCAAGTCCCTCCTACGACATGTGGGAATTATGGGAGCTACAATTCAAGATGAGATTTGGGTGGGGAGACAGCCAAACCATATCAATAAATAACAACTGTTACTTCTCATGGAGGGAAGGGATATATAAAGTGGCTGAACAATAACGAGTGGCTACTTAGACCTGAGAAGCCCTATCTAATGCTAAGAACAGGAACACGTTTCTTTGGGACCAGGGCAAAGGCACTAAACTAATAGTGACTGTGGAACAGAGTGTGGGAAAGAAAGTGCCAAAACAAACTTTGTGAGTTTTTAAAAAATTTTTATTTGTTTACTTATTTTATATTTTGTAGAAGCAGGGTCTCTCAAAGTGCTGGGATTACAGGCATGAGTCACCACGTCCAGCCAAAATAAATTTTGAATGGGCAGGTAGGGTTAGGTCATGCAAAACCTTGAATGCTCAGCAAAACAGTCAAATCTCATTATGAAATGTATATGAGAGGGAGAAAGTTTTGCTATACGGAAATAGAATTGAGCTAAGTTTTGCTATAAGAAAACAGAAACGAGTCTGCTCTCCACTCTACTTAATTTTGCCTTCTGACATATTTAGGTCCTAAGCTTACAGATAACTGGACAATCTTTTCCCCTTCTTTTAATATGCTAGTAGAAAATAATAAATGATAAAGAATTTTTTCCAACCAAAGGAAAAACAGAGGACCAATTCTATTTAACATACCAAATGATGAACAGACACAGAGTATGCCAGATGTTTAGCGTAACAATTTTTAAATCATGCAAGAGTAATGACATATTGAAGATGACGAATCTCACAAGTAGCATGTTAGAAAAAAATACGGATGCTTAAAGAAGAAAGACTCAACCATCTGAAAAGATTACCAATTTTTAAAACAGAACAGAGAAAAGAAACACAGCCATCTGACTAATCAGGTTTTACATGTCCTAAGAGAAAATCTAACATTCTTTATATCAAATGAACAACTGAAATCTGGGATTCAGGGTTAGTCCAGGATCCTGGAACTGTAGGCTAGACTGGAGAAAGCTTCTAGAATGGCAATTCTCAACATATTAGGGACTAAAGCAAGTCAAATATCAAAATCCTGACATTAATATATTATTTGTTTTTGAATGTTCAGAACACATTCAGGCTGGTCGCAGTGGCTCATGCCTGTAATCCCAGCACTTTGGGAAGTGGAGGCAGGTGGATTGCATGAGCTCAGGAGTTGGAAAACAGCCTGAGCAACATGGCAAAACCCCATTGCAACAAAAAATACAAAAATTAGCCGGTGTGGTGGCACATGGCTGTAGTCCCAGCTACTCAGAGGCTGATACGCAAGGATTGCTTGAGCCAGGGAGGTTGAGGCTGCAGTGAGCTGAGATCATGCCTGATCTGTGTCCCAGAAACAAACAAACAAACATTCAGGGTCATTTCTACAGTAACATCACTTGGATTTCAATGATTCCCCAAATGGGAGAAGGGTGTGGGGGTCCTGGCCAGCAAGTCAGGAAATGCACAGAACCAGCTAGAAGGCTGGTGTGTGCTAAGAGAGAAAATTCATCCAAAGCTGAGAAAGGCAGCATGTGAATTCCAGGACATCAACCTCCACTGGGCCCCAAATGCTGGCTAGAAGCCCAATTTATTCTAGGTCAGCATTCTCTCCCATCTTCTTCAGTGGCTGGCCCAAACCAACCTATTCTCAAATCTTTGAAAACCACCCTTACCCATCACCTCCTAACTGTCAGCAAATGACCTTGCTTCCTGTCCACAGAGAAAATGTAAGCGAAGTAGCTTATCTCCCATCCACAAACCCACCATCACACATCTGTAACTACAACCACCCTTCCCTCTTTGAGAGAAAAGCAGCCAATCTCCTATCCAGACTAACCCCTCCCACACATGCTAGGATCCCACGGCCTCGTGCCTTCAGGGATCCTGCTCTAGTCCTCACACCACCTCTCTCAAGTCTTCATCCTTTCCCTTTCCTGGTGCTTCCTCATCAATATTTCAATATTTTGGAGTACCTGGATAAGCTGAATTGGTTTCTTTGGATTGTTTTTAGCAGAAGTTGCCACTGGCAAGATGCAAGTCACAAGCTGCCTTGAAATACAGTTTCTTTCTTTCTTCCGGAAGACATTGCAGTAACCACTGCTAGTTACTTAAACGTAAATACTTGTGTTCAGTGCCCTGGAAAGAGAGTGTAACCTGGCCTTCCCTTATTTGAAAAAGACACCCCCTCCCCTGGAAATACTCACTGATAGAAGAGCTTTTTGGAGGTCGGAGTAGGCCAAGCAGATAAATATATTCTTTTTTTTCTTTTTTTTTTTTTTTTTTTCTTGAGACAGAATCTTGCTCTGTCGCCCAGGCTGGAGTGCAGTGGCATAATCTTGGCTCACTGCAAGTTCCACCTCCCGAGTTCACGCCATTCTCCTGCCTCAGCCTCCCGAGTAGCTGCAAATACAGGCGCCTACCACCTTGCCCGGCTAATTTTTTGTATTTTTAGTAGAGATGGGGTTTCACTGTGTTAGCCAGGATGGTCTCGATCTCCTGACCTCATGATCCGCCCACCTTGGCCTCCCAAAATGCTGGGATTACAGAGCCACTGCACTCGCCCCACAGATAAATATATTCTAAAGAAAAGTGATCTTGGAAGATAGACTTTGGGCCCAGCATAACACAAATTAATGTGTGTGTGATTGTAACACTAGAGAAAGAAAAGGGTGCTTTGGATTGCATGGGACCCCCGCTTTCAATGGTGTCACCATGTGACAATGACAGAACTAACAGCAGCAGGAATGTTCTTGAGGTTGGGAGGGGTTAGAAATGACAGAATAGCTTTAGACTAATCAAACTCTTCAGTTATCCCTCTTGCCTAGTATTTGGAAGAAGGATTGGCCTCTTGGACTAAGTGCACTCTTGAAATTGTTAGAAAATTCTCTTCCCTTCTCACTCTATGCACTGTCCCCTGGTGGTGGCATCTATTTCTACTGCTTCAGTTGCAGTCCTGATACTAACAACTTCTTTGTCTTTACACACATGTCGCATCTCCCGAGCTCCAGCCTGATAGGTCCTGTTATATAAAGGTCACCTCTTTGGATACCCTATCGACTCCAAAATTCAATCTGTTCAAAACTCATTACCTTCTCCCCCTTCACCACACAAAGTTACTCCTCATGCAGGGTTCAATGAGTAGTGTTATATTCACCCAACTGCCCAGGCCAGGTAGCTGAATATTACTGCTGCCTCTTCCCTCTCCCTCCTTTATTCTTATCTATTAGAGTTTCAGATTCTCAATTCTATCTCGTAAATAACTCGTGAATCCTTTCCATTCTCTCTACCTCCACTTTTTCCATACCGGTTTAGTTTATCTTCTCTCATCTTTGAACTCATCTCTGCCGCAGGTCTTATCTCCTCTAATTGTTAGCTGTTGTACAACAATAACAATTTCTTTTTTCTAAAATACAGATCTCCTTATGTCATTCCTGGGTGTGAAACCCTTCAATGGTGCCTCCCTGACCTCACAAGATGGCCATTTATCACCTGGTACCTGTCCATTGCTCAACCTTTTAAGGTAACTGAAATATTGCATTATGTCCTCCATAATAAAAGATAAATTTGATTATTTTCCCAAATTCTAAAATTGTTTCATATTTTCTAACCGATTACTCCCTGGAGTGATCAACGTTAATAATCCTATGCCTTCATATATTTTCCCAACCTAATATTT